GCAAGGCGGGGGTCGGTCGGGCGTAGGCGGGGGCGCGAGATGACGCCTGTCATGCTTGTCCATACCCTCCCGCACTCCCGCCGATCCATACTCTCTCCTCATTACAGATGAGCGGGCGTGCCCCCCAGACGAGCACGTCGAGGCGGTTTGTTCAGCGAATGCGCGCTCTCTCGAGGACGCCGCCTCGCGTACCAGAGCGGTTCGCGTAGCGACCCGGGCTTCGCGCTCGTCGTGCTGAAAGCGAGCACTCGTGTGCGCGCGGTCGTCCTCATCAGCGGCGGCCGGTTGACTGCGATGAGAGCGGTACTGTCGCACATCCTCGCTGTCAGTTGGGCGGCGGTGTGCTGAAGCCAGAGGACGCGTCGGTGGGTCAGGACGCGAGCGTGGCCGCGTGTGGGAGGAGGGACTGGGGCGAGCCACGGCGGCCGGACGCGCAAAGTCGCGGGGGGTGCGCGCGTCGGAGGGCGCGTCGACAAGGGGGACGTGCGCGCCGCTCGCGAGTAGATGCGGGGCTCGACGCGCTAGCGAGTGGTCGTGCCTGCGGGATGAGGGCGCGGGTATGCCAGACGAGGGCGAGCTGGCGAGGGCATCGCGTATTGGTAGAGGTGCGTCGGCGGGAGGGACGCGCGTGTGTTCCTCGGACGTGCGCGTGTCGTGCGAGAGGGCGGAGGCGAGCGAGGCCGCCCCGTACAGACGCGTCGGGGTGACTGGTACGACGGCGGTGAGCTCCGTCGAGTACTTCGCCCGACCCTCCCTCCATGCTCGCTGAGCGGCTTGGGTCTCGCGCTCGTGGTGCGCGCGTACAACGGCTCGTGCGTGCGAGCGCGGCGAGAGAGCGCGGGCAGCGGACGGATGCTCGGGCGGAGGGTCGTCGGACGAGGAGGGACGGGCGGGAGAGCCGTCTTGTTGCGCGGCAGCCTGGGCTTGGGCCTTGAGGAACGTGTGGACGGCGGCTCGCCCCCGCGAGCGCAGCGAAAGAGCGCGAGAGGGCGGGCGGCAGGGCGATGGGGCGTCGAGCGGGAGAGTATGCACGTGTGGACGGGACGCAGGACGGAGCCCTAAGGGTAGGTGAATGGGCGTGCTCACCGAAACGTCCCGGCTTGCTCGTCCTCGTTCCCTCTCAGCCTTTGGCCTGGCTAGCAATCCTCCCATGAGCTCCCCCTGCGAGTCTCCGAGGTTGCGCGTGGTTGGGCCGCACGGCGCACGCGTTTGACGGCTCGGGGTGTCCGTTTGCGAGTGGGCTTGAGCCGTCCCGTTGCGCGTCGCGCTGCGGGTGGGTCGGCCGTCTTCGCGTCGCGAGCGCACGCGGTCGTCTTCGCTCGCGGAGTGAGCCGGGGCCGGTTGGCTGCGAGGAGCGCGGACCCTTCGCGCATCCTCGCAGTCCGGTCGGCGGGTCGAGCGGTCGACCGAGGGCGAGAGGGGTGGAAGATGGGGGTCGTGGTGAGAGTCGGCGCGACGGTCGAGCGCCGAGGGCCGCGCGTTCGACGCGCTCGGGCGCCTGTGCGATCGCACAGTTCCCACGGGCCTCCGAACGGGCACAGGGGGCTCGGCGGGTGCTGGCGAGTCGCGGGGAGTGGCGGAGCGGGGCGGCTGATAGCCTCGAGGCGCGGTCGTCGAGGAGGAGGTGTTGGCGCCGTGTGCGCGCCCACTGTACGACGAGGACACGCGCTCGAGCTGCCGGATTGGTGACAGGGCGTCCCAATAAGACCGCGTGAGCCACGTCGCCGAGGGCATTAGATTAGAATCAATATAGAACAGATAGAATTAGAATGAGAATAGAGAATGTTCCAATATACGAGGGAGTTCACAGGGCAGTGGACCGGTCCCCTGAGTGTCCACCAATGTTAGAGTTCGTGGGCCTGGAACCCTAGACTCGGGGGCCGGGCTGCCTGTGAACTCGACGCTTGGTGGTCGCGGCGCGACCGGGAAGGTGTCGTAGTGTCGTCGTGAGGTCGTGAGCGAGGCGAGGAGCTCCCGCTGGCGTCGTAGCAGAGCGAGGAGCGCTGCTGTCGTCGTAGCAGGGCGAGGAGCCGCGCCTAGAGGTGAGTCCTAGAACTGGCGAGGAGCCAGGTCGAGGGGGAGTCCTAGGCGAGGCGAGGAGCTCAAGCCGAGAGGGGATGCTGAACGTACTCGGACGGCGCGGTGTCGCACACGGACGAGGTGGTGGTTCAGCAGTAAGATTGGATTACTTCCCAATATGGAAGTCAAGTGGCTAGGTACAACAACGAGATAAGATGAGATGTACACTATCAGTTCATAATCTAATCTAATCAGTGAGCATAGTGATGCCCACCCATAACACTCTGAGTGTCACAGTCCAACTTCGACATACGTTCCAGGAGATCTTAGTTGGAAGCGGCCTGTTCACTGCTCGCAGCCGCAATGACAAGCCATTATCCAAGCTCGAGAAGATTCTGAATGAAATATGGTGGCCTGCCTCATCTGGCCGAGCTCCTCGGAAGGTATGGTCTTGTTCGTACTACTCAATCCCTGATGTTTTAGACTTCTTGAATTAGATCGCTGAGGGCGGGTCCGTGAAAGCGGACCAGTGGCGGAACCTAGTACACATCCTTCCGGTCGTACTCTACTACTGCTGGCAAGTTGATGGCCGCATTCCGGGCGGAAGCGCACCAAAACCGAACACTTCCACAAACGCTGGGAAGGCTCTTGATAAGAAGGAAGCATTGCACCTGGAGCTGGCATACTGATATATCAATACTTGTAGTTACAGTACGGCCGTGATACATGTATGACTGTGAGCTACAGATCACACCTTATAGGGCATGCCGTGATATATCACAGCTAGAGTCTCCAATACATCACAGCTGAATACAGCACTTACCGCATCTGGTTGCATTACTAATCGTTGATCTGCTCACTTACTTGCTGTATATGCACCCTGCCGCCAATCGAAATGGCGAATGACAGCGCGCAAAGGAGACGGATGTCATTCAATGAGTCATTACGCTGTCGTCAGTGGCCATGGATAGTAGGTCGCGTGCACTGCGTTGACCTTTCCGGAGGGCGGGGGTTGGGCGGGGGCGCGATGCGCTGGCACCAGCAGATCCGTGATAATCGGGGTGGTCGGGGCCGCGTGGCGGGCGCAGCCGCGCAGGCACGCGCGGCACACGAGCCGGCAGGCGGGGCCGTGTGGCAGGCGCATGCAGGCACGGCATCAGCCGGCGGTTGGGTTGTCACACCGCTTTCCCAGATAGGCGTCTATGACGTCACAGCAGAAACACGTACTGTGCGCCAGGAAACACAAGAAATTTAGACATTCAATGTGTTTGAACTGGTTTAACGGTGATATAACGCGCGAGTCATTGTGGTTTGAGCTCGGTATCGCCTAGCTGTGGCGCTGGGCGCCACCGCCGGGGCACCTGCCTGATCTGGGAACATTGCCTGATTTGGCTGCATTGTGGCGTTGTGCGTGCACCCTTCAACAAGACAAATGACACTATATTCCGGGCTCGTATATTACAATACTGAAGCTAATTATATATGGGTAATAAAGCTATATGTCAGCAGTAAAGGAATATGAGCATTGTGCGCACAATGTCGTGCCGAATTGAACCGAAGACATCGCTCAGCCAATCAGGGAGCGGATAACGGTCAGCGCAAATCTTTACAACACTCGTTTGGCAGTCATAGCGGCTGAAAGGCTTCCTTTTGGCACAGATGTGGTTCAAACATACTGTAATATCCCTATCTTGCTTATAATTGAGTGGAGAAAATTTACAAGCACCTGCCAGTCACGATATTGTGTTCGAACACGTTCACTGCACCAGTGAACTGCAATAACAGTGCACTGTATACATTGAATGTTGACCTGGGCTGTGTAACCTACGTTTTTCGGTGAGCTTTTTCTATTACATAAACTGTATCACACACTGAATCTATATTTCTCGGAATAATACGAATACAAGGGCTGTACAACCCTCCATGTTATGTTTTCTACGGGGAGGGTGGCCCGGGCAGTGAGCGCTAACGTGATCTACCGCGATCTACCACGATCTGACGCATACAACCTCATTCTGTCGGAAAGGGGCTGGGAGTATATATACTGTCAGGTAAAACAAATCTATAGCTGGCTCTATTGTATCAATACCAAGCCTGGCCGACCCTCCATGTCGTATTTTTGTGGCCCGCACGATAGATCTAACGCGATCGACCTCGATCTGCCCGCCTCGGCTATACCGAATACGGTAAAGTTCAACAGCGCTGCGCACCACTACACCTCAATCGCTTTGTACCTTTTGCTCCTCACATTCTAGGTCAATGCCTCATTCATGTTGTAAATACATACTCATCCTTGCTTCTATTCAGTTTTTCCTATATATTAGCCAAGACGAGCATTATTGTAAGCAAACCGCGACCGGACGCTTACGTAATACTACCGCCGGGTATAGCCGCGTACCGCGTGCTGCCAGTCCAAGCGGTGAAGCCACGTACATAGCCAAATATAGCTGCGTCAGAACCGCGCACTGTGCGCCGTGCCACTGGCCGTGCGGAACGGGGCGGGTGCATCACACCTGCCAGATCCATGCCCGATAATACCCGCCAGATCTGTGCCAGATATAGGCATACCAGCGGCGCATCAGCCGCGCGGTGCGAGCACATGCTCACACTGTGCTTTGATACATTACAGCTACATCTGTAATGTATTCTGTGATACATTGACAGGCCTCGTTTGTGCTACAGGCGTACATGTATCACGGCCGTACTGTAATTACAGTCTCCTGATGTATCAATATGACCTTTACGCCTGAGCATTGATTCGTTCTCGTCGGCGCGGACAGCTCATAGCACAGGCAGATGTTCCCACAGCAGCATTGGAAGCGGTCGATCACATGGAGATAGACCGGAGCTATCAACGGCACTACGAGAACACACTTGAATTGTGCACGGCTATTCGGATATGGGCCTCATGCTCGATATCTCCGCAGGAGGTTGAACGCGCACAGGACTGCCACTCCCGGGCATGTCAATCCTGGGCGGCGATGAACTGTCATTTGACCCCTTACTTTCATCTCGCAACGCACAACAGCGAATTCTTCCTACGCAACGGGCCCTCATACTCCTGGTGGGCTTACCCTTATGAACGCAACAATGGATTTCTTGGGCGTTTCAAGACCAACGGGCACACAGGTGGGGAGCTGGAGGCGACAATGATGCGTGGCTGGGTGAAGTGCCAGCTGATCAGTGACTTGGTAAGAGCACCTCTTCCTGACGGCACTGTCTCTGATACTAACTAGTACTATCTGTAGATGCAACATCTCGAGAATCTGAGTGACAAGAACGATGATGATAGCAAGATTCTTGCGAAATTGAAGGATCAAATGAGAGGGAGCTCGAAGCCCGCTCAGCAGCGTGGTACTCTCTTGAATCTCATAGCGGGCATGAAATCTTGGGACTCCGCTGGAGCGACAGTAGGTAAGTATCAATCAATCAGTCTCTTTGCAACGACGTGCATTGATACCCAAAGTTCCCAGAACGCATCGCACTTCCATCGCAATCAAGGAAGGTCAAGCTGGAGCAGCTAGGATTGTATGCGCTCGTTCTGCGCTTCCTTCAGGATGCCTGGGGTGCAACAGCATCCATCGTTGCTGCGTCGGCCCCAGCGGATGCAGGCGAGCCATTTGTCGCAGTCAACATACCTTCATATTCCAACATTCTCGTGGACGGCTTGCGATATGGCGCGTATAACACGCATACCGTTACCCGCTAGTCCGTGGATGAGCGCTCGAGCCACGCGTCCGCCACACGCGCCGTCCTCGCGTTGAGACCTCAGTCTGCTCTGAGTCGCTCACGGCGGGGATTGGTACTCGTCTTCTCTCGTCGCAACACACTCATTTCTTTATATTACTCTTTGATACCTATGGGCCTCTGCTCAGGATGTGGCAAATCATTCCGACATATGGACGGAGATGACTGCTCCAAGTGTCAGAAACGGCAGGGTGCGGGAGATGCGGCGGCTTTGGAACTGATCTCGGTGCGTACAATGATTGAATTTTGCTTCATGCATAGCTTGATGATATGTTGTACAAAAGAAACTGCTGCAGTGCGGGGGGTGTGGAGTCACGTTCCGCTACCTGGAGGCAGAACTCTGTGCACTCTGTGTGGACAAAGACCAACGCGCGGCAGCGCCTTCCGGTGAGTCCTCTATTAACCTTATTTTCATGTATTGAGCTAATTCGAGACTGTCCGCAGCGGGGCAAGCGCGCGCTCCGTCTCTTGGTGGAGCCGTGGCACAGGCATCAACGTCAAGGACTGCTGCGGCTCCTGTACGAGCGTCGACGTCAAGCACGGCCATACGACGCGGTCAGCAGTCACAGCTGCGCCACACCACCGCCTCACCGTCTCGACAACGCCCTGTTCCTGCAAAGGGCCCTCGCATTGTCTCCGGAAATGGAAATCAGAACACGCCGCTCGAGATCGCCGAGTCTTCGGATATTGAAGTTGTTGAGTACGAGGAGGAGGAAGTGGAGAATGCGGAGCTGGAACCTATCGACAACGCCATCAATCGCCATAGGAAGACGGTAACGTCTTACCGAGTGAAGGGGAGGTCGATGAGCATCCCGGCTGCGCCCTCGTCTTCATCTACGCTTACGACAGCGAAGTTCAGCAAGCTTCGGCAGGGCCAACAGAGGGCTGCCACACTGAAGACATCCACGTCAACTGTCCAGTTGCTGACATTCCACTGCGACGTCATGTTGATGAATGAGAATGGCAAAACATCGGGTACTTGTATCCCAGCATTCCGGTGCGATGTTGCGCTGAATGATGTGAGTGATTAGTCATCGGTTCCAAGTGATAGCATTCTCACCGTCATGAGGCAGCAAATGGATGTATTGGTGGACAAGGTCATGGAGGAGTTGAACAGCGAGGATAGTCAGTGGAGGAAGGTGTATGGTGATGATGCCGTCATTGCGTTGTACGTATTTCGGCCGTGTTTGTTTGATTTCCTGACCATCAGTTGTAGCGGTGATATATGCCTCACCTTCAAGCAGAAGATCACGTCACAGTACAGTCAGATCAAGCCGAGGAACTATGGGTCTGTACGGCAGTTCTGGGACATGCATACGCAACGGAAGGGGCTGTACTTCAGTGAGCATCAGATCAAGCACTTCTCGCCCGCCATTGGTGTTCTCGTGCCAATAAGCTGCACTCGTCCAGTGAGTTTGTTCTTGTAGACCTTGAAGGTACAAGCTCATGACCATTTGAGCGTCACGACGCGGCGTCTGATGACAATGGTGATCATGATCGCCGTGGCCGTCAACGCAAGACTTCTCGCAAGCGCAAGGAACGGTTGTCTGACTCAGCCTCACCTCCACCCATCAAGAAGGAGAAGCTTGATGACGGTTTGGTTGAAGTGAAGGTAGAGGTGAAGGAAGAGCCTATTGAGCCAGCACGACCAAGGAAGCAACTTCGGTGTATGCATGTCTTTTATGTATCATCTACACGCTAATAGGTCCATCTTCTCACAGGTACTGCACGCCGTAAGGCGCCACTAGTCAAGCCTTCATCGAAATCATCACCATTGCGTCCTATCACCCTTCATCGCGCAATCACATTTTTCTGCGAGCAGCCTGTTCTTCGGGATGGAACATGGTCACTTCAGAGATCTGTTGATGCATTCCAGGGGAAGCTTCATATTCCGTTGGCTGCTGGCAACTCAAGCAGAGTGCGAGAGGTATGCCTTTGTTGTGTACAGTATCGCCTACTAAGAATTATCCTGTAGCTTCTTGTTGACGATGATGCTTCTGTTCTCCTCGGAGCCCAATGCTTCAATGTCTACAACTCAACGCTAGATGCTGCGCAGTTTCAAGTCCTTCGGTTAGCCAAGCTTGGAGGCTTGCTGTCAGAGTTTATGACAGCGCTGGGAAAGCAGTCTGCATGGTGTAAGAGAACATTTTCTTCACTGTAGATCAGTGCTAACATTCCCTCAGTTTTAGACATTGAAGTTCCCAATCACTTCATTGCTTTGGAACTTGAGGACAGCAGTGAAGTACCCAAGACAGTCTTAGACTGCTGCCCAAATGCTGTTGCTGAGGAGCTATCTGGTAACCTTGCACCAGAGATCCATGCTGAGATCAATGACCTCACTGTAGCCCTCTCACACTATACTTTTCATAGCTGTGGTGGTGATAAGGTGTATGCAAGTTTCAAGAGTAAGTCCAGTCTTTGTTTGTCCATCCTACTGATAGCTGATGAATACCTCAGCAAGCATAACAGAGGGTGGGGCCAAGTTGCAAATATATGATCCTGTGATCCATTCGTGAGCATGACTTGTTCAGCTGTCTCTGTTGACTGTATTGATGTTCTACCATAGCATCTCTGGTGATGAAGGGCCCCAAGATCAAGGCCCAGATGCTATCTTGGCCTTCAAGCTACAGCATGCATGCTCAGGACTCTGTTCCAAACTCAAGCTCCAGCCTTTTGTGTAGATGCAGTCTAGGTGAAGCTCCTGGTGTAATATGCACAGCAGATGGATCCAGCAGTAACATACAACACTCCTTTAGCCATTTACTTACAGCCTTTTAGTTCATACCAAATCTAATTTTGTTTCATGTAAACTGGGGTTTGTACTCCCTGTGTGATTGATATTGGGCCATATGAGACAATGTCTGTGAGTCATTCCCCATTATCTGACCACCCAACACTGTTGCTAAGTCCTCATATGATGTGTGTATTCACTACAAACTGTTACACAGTTCATAAGTGCCATTGAGTAGTCTCATCAATCACAGTATATTAATGCTAGGACAGTATTAAGCTTCTGCCTCAACAGCAGCAACCATCTGCCTAAAGACTATCCAAGCTGTATCTAGTGTTATCTCTGGTTTACCAATTGCTGCATGTACTTCCTCAGCCAAGGCCTCATACTCTTCATCTACATACTCCATATCCTTCTCAGCCTCCTTCTCAGCCTTGCTCAGCAGTCTCTCCAACTCAGCCTGAGGAACAGGAACAAGACAAGGCTTACCACCCCACTTTGCAGGTGTACGATAGAAGTCCAAACGCTTCGCACCCGAGGGCAGAAGTTTATCTGGCTGATGACGGATGTACTGACCATTCTCCCTGTTGCACCAAGCATCAAGCTCGCGCTGCATGAGCGGGAACCAGATCCAGTTCGCAAGCTGCCTATGAGTATAGCTGAGCAAGTATATCAAGCCCATATGGAGATCTAGGACTTACCCATGCATGTAATTGCCCGCGTCGAAGTCTGCACTGTAGCGACCAGCATTGTACACGGCCAGGACATTGACACCCCACTTCTGGAACAAGGGGCGCCATTGTCGCTCAACTGTGATGTTCCGCGGGCTTGATGTATACCGGTACGCAGGGATCACATCGGAATCGAGCTCCGGCGCATACTTCTGGCTGCAATGAATGAGTTCACAGTATTCACTGTAGTACGTGAGACTCACCGTAATGCTGTCTGATGGGCAAATATGTCCCCGGTCTCCGAACCATGGTCGCTTGTAACCTGAACAGGAACACCTGAGAATGTTTGATCAGTTTCACAGTTACACTACGTGACATTGTGACGTACCACCTCGCTCCTTCGCACAACGAAGGTATACCACCAGACAAGCCTTCGCCTTACGGTTGGATGGGAGTACGTTGAACTGCAGCTTCCCGCCACCCCATTTGTCGACAATGCCGTAGATACCAAAGCCCGCGTGAGCGAGCTTGTCATGACCATCAATCAACCATTCCTCGTCTGGGCCGACAGAGGTCAGCGGTGTTCGAACGAGTGTCTTGCGGCGTGAGAGCGGGTGGCGATCTACAAACCCTTGTGGTGCGTAGGCATGCATGACGCGATCTACCGTTGACCTACATTATCGTCAGTGATCGGATTGTATCAAATCATAGAACTACCGCGGCCATACCGCGGAATATGTACGCCCTTGAGAGCGAGCGTCGACTTCACCCAGCGAGGTCCGTTTGCGTTCGCAGGATCACGCTCCATCTCGTCGACAACGAGCTGTGTCTGCTCTGTCTCGGGCAACTGGCATTTGCGGACACTTAGGCCAAGTGTGCGTAAATACTCGGCAACCTTCGTACGACTTCGAGGTTGCGTTCAAGTCAGTACCATCGCTTCACATGGAGTACACCATGTACACACCCGATATCAACCCCATGGTCCTCTCTAAGCCTCGCCCGGATCTCCACATAGCCCGTCACATTGGTCTTGTAGTACCCGCGCAAGACACCGGCCAACCAGTCGTTGAGGGGATCTGGGTACAGTAGTACTCTGTAGGGTTGCAACACGCGCGCCGGGGAAATGACTCACGGACTTTCCCGCCGTGCTGGTTGTTGCCGTCGCGGTTATTGCTGTAACCCCTCGTTCGACGGATCGGCCCAATGGGCATTGGTACAGTTATGGAAGCGTCGACAACGTCCATCAGGAAAAACGTTCGTGTCTTAAGTGGTCTTGTGGAGAGCCAAAAGTGACATTATGTGTCACTATGTGCCACAAGAGCCTTAAGGTAAGTCGATTTCTTAAATTGTCTTACTTAAGTTCCATTAAGTAACCAAAGTAAACACTCATTCCAAGCAAGAATGATGTTTTTTCATCATTACTGGGGTGACTTCTCTCATGATTCTGCTGTGTTTGTGCATATGCTGTCATAACAGGCATCCCAGATGCAAAAATGTCGCCCAAAATAATCTGCCATTTCCCAGAATTGAACCCCTGACCTGCTAAACTAATTTCCCACACTTTCAGCACAAACTTGTGACCACTACACCATAGGTCCCTGTGCTTGTTCCCTTCTACAATAACCTATATTGACTATCTTTCTGGACTTAGAGAAATCTGCAATTGCTGCCCCCTGTTAGCCCAGCCCCTGTGCATCCCTGGGCTCTCAGACTGGCCTCATTTCTTCTTGGTACTATCTGTTGCCTTGCAGACCTTGTGTAGACTCATAATTTGCTCAAGGGCAGGCTTCTTGTCTCACTTTGCATGCTTAAGTGTTCTTTTGCTGTCTCTCAACCTTAACAGGTCAAATATGTCCAAATCCTTGACAATATGACTTTGACCACAGCATCTGTTGTAAGTAGGGTAATATACTCATAATCACAGGGAAAAAACAAATAATCTTTATTTGTACCCCATTACTGTTGCCAGATATAGTATGTGTTGACTTGTCAGGTGAAATCTTGGTGAAGTCTTCATATTGAGCAATCTGACATCTCATCATGCATATTTTTGATTAAGAGGTCATTTGCCAACTAATGTGTACTTATGCATCTTAATCTGTAGTACTTAAGTTGCATATTTTCCAACTTGGGGACAAGACAAATGTCTCAAAGGTGCTATAGTTAACTTCAGCAGTCTTCATGCACATGGTGCACTTAATTAAGGAACACAAGTTGTAAAAGACTGAATAAGATCAGGTGTTCTTCATTCAAGACTGCTGAAGTTAGAAGTGTTTTTCCTGATGTCTGACGGAGGTGGGACTGCCGCAAGACTGACGCGACGCGCGGCGCTGGCAGTGTGGCGGAGGCGCGTGGCTCGAGCGCTCATCCACGGACTAGCGGGTAACGGTACACGCATCGCGGACAGAACTCCTGTTACGCTTACATTAATGGGCGTATTCCTGTGCGCATTTCTCACATTTTCCACATCAGGCATACCCGACGCGATGCTCGCCTCGTACCCCTCGAATGCACATGTGCTGTTGTGCAGCAGTTCATGTATGATGATGACATTCCGGAGATGCCTTGGACTTCACGGTATGTACCTACTACTGCTACTGCTGGTATTCAAGGCAAAAAAACTCAACAAATCGAAGGGCAACCGACCTAGGCATTGCAACATGGCGTGCAAACATGTTGTCAGCACCCGAGGTCGTCAATGCTTGCCAGCTCTCTGGTCATTTCGCTCTTACTACAGTGCCTCACTGCGAGCAAGAGCTATGGGTAACAATGTCTCTATGCCATGTACATTGCCTCCCGATGCCATTCAGAGGTTTGATCTCACAATTCCTGCAGGATACTCAAGAACCAGATGTCCTTGATGATGCGGCCGACACCGAGGATATATAAACATAAGTAAGCACGTCTTTGCTCTCTGACTCAGGCCGCCTTGCTCCGCCAGTAACTGCCTCCCATCATGATCATTGTCTCATTGCACGGCTCTCCGGCTTGCTTACAGGCTGCTATGTTTTACGACTCACTCTGATACCCTCAGAACATGGTGCACAGCTCTCCAACTCGCTCTGCAAACCCATTACGGCCGCTGTCTCAATGCGCAGCTCTCTGACGAGTCGGACCTGCTCCAGTAAGTACATCTCGGCCGAGTCCTTAATGACTCGGACTCGCTACATCATTGGACAGTGCTGGATCGATACTACTAGAGGATTCCCTCGTAGGCGGGACTTGCCTTTCTGACTTTGCTCCGTCATCTGCTGCCCCAACATCGCCCTCGTCCCCGCCATCATATTCCATCTCCACGTCAACATCTGCCGAACTGCCCACATCATCAAACAGCATCAGCCGAGGTATGTTCTGCTCCGGATGCCTCTCGAGCCACTCGCGGTCCACAAGACTGCGAGGAATCTTGACCGCACCTTTCACCTTGCACACGTTTGGAAGCGGCTTGTCCCGCTTCTCACCGCGAGTACGGGTAGCATGTTGTGCGCCACCTGAGGCCGAATTTTCTTTGCGGTGCGTGACAATCACCTTATCCAGCTTTCGCAACGGCCGCTCAAGCTGAACCAACAACTATCAGTGTCCGCCCAACATACAAATGATGAAATATCGCACCTCTGATGGGCGATATGACGGCCAATGTGCGATCCACACCTTAGACTTGGATATGACTCTCGCCCTCGTATTTTGGGCCTCCTCTGACGTGTTCGCATCGACAGCACCTTGGCCATCTTCCTCGGGTTCATCTGTCTCGTCCGTCGACATGTACTTCCACGCGCTCATGAGCCAATTCCACTTCGGCGCCTGCATCTCCTCAACATGATCGCGCAACTCCTTGCGATCGGACAATTTCTGAGGAATTCTATCAGTTGCAAGACACAGGCTGATGAACAACATTCTGTACGTACTGCTCTCTTACGCTGTTCATGCCGCCTTAGCCGCTGATCATCGGCCCTCGCCGCCTCGCCCTTTCCTTCGGCTTTATAGCGATCTCTCATAGATCGCCAGGCAGTTGCAACCGCCGCTTCGACCTGGGCAAGTGACGTCTTCTCCAGATCCTCTACAGCCAACTTACCATGCCACTTGTGACCATCCAGCTTGACCTTCTCCGCAACCTCACGAAACCATCCCGCCTTGTTCTCGCCTTCGATCTCCCATGTTGGCCGCAGGACACACTTCCCCTGATTGTCCTCGAGCCAGAATACTCCGGCCGAAGTTCCTAATGGCTTAGGCAGGGCGGCCTTTGGTGCAATCCCCATCATATCAATGATTGCGTTCCGCGTGGCAGTCTGACACACAAGGTGAGCACGATTGAGCTGTGATCTAATGAAACGACGACTTACTTGCAGAGGTGTGTCTTTCTTACGAACCATCGTCTGAGGCGGCTCCTGCGGCTCCTGCAGCTCCACCGGCGCCGCCTCGTCGCCGACACCAGCAGGTACTGTGACTTCCGCTTGGTTCGCCATCCGCCGACGCACTGATTTTTTCAATCTTTCGAACTCGTCCCAGAGACACTCCTCAGAGTCTTCGATGGTGTTCAGCCGGCTGAGGACTCCTACCTGCTTTCTATGAAGCAGGTCATACATCTCGTCCGTGCGGCCAAAGAGCTCGTGTGACGTGTTCAGGCGATCCTCCATATCGGCGATCTGTCTGCGCTGCCCGGTAAGCTCCTTCTCCATGCGTGCAAGATCTGCCTTCATGACATGGATCAGATCCGAGGTCGCCTTACTCATCTGAGTTGGTCCTCGCGTATTTCCGACTGCATTTTGAAGTTGGAAGGTTGTTTTCAAAGATGGTGGCGGTGCTGAGGTGAGTCCTGTAGTCAAAATGATCTCATGAGTCGAGCATACCATTCAAAACAATGTCTGTACGCACGCGAAGTTGTCGACAGTCGCCTTGGACTTTCACTTCGGCTCCGGCGCCTCGACAACTGCGAACCCGAAGCCTGCGGCGGCTGGCTCTCCGAGTCTCGGAATGGGTTACGGAAGGGCTTGCGTGGCGCAGTAATCCCCGGGTTACCAGCGGGTGCGTCCGGGCGACGGAACGACCTAGTACTATGCGAACCGCCTCCTTCGCTTTGAGTAGGTGAGTCGCCGCGATGCTGCGTAAGGCCGGCGCGAGCCATCTCGACGTGCTGACGATCTCTTAAGGGGTCCGCGCTTGGTGAACGACGACGGCCAGGATCCTGGGAGCTGGCTGACTGCTGGGTACTCGACATTGCACTGCAGGGAGTTCAGCAATGAATGGACCGGGTAGTACAAGGCTCAGAGCTGCGGCTGTGATGCGATGTTCCACGGGGTACGTCTCGATGCTCATTAAGCTTCCCTCTTGCGAATTCATGGTCTTCTAATTTTTTATTGTAGATCCCAACGCGGCCTGAATACTATACAAGGTGCTATTGCGCGTATAGGATCGCCGCCAGACGTCAAAGTGTCAACACCTCGTGTGACGAAGAGCAGTGTCTAGACTGCCCATGCCTTATATACGGTGCCTCAGACTGCCGGCCTCGAGTACCTCAGGACCACTGGAATCAAGTCCTTTACCTTTGTGCAGTCCGTTGTCTTTAACTGATGTGTCTCATTGTATGTATTACGGTGATATACAACGTTGTTTGAGCGTCGCGAGGCTACTGTACCGGCGGGCTGAGGAGGCCTGCATGTGACACCCGGCTATCCTAAGCAGGACATGCGATGGACATGCTGAGGAAAGGCACCGAAAATGTGCCGGATTTTCCTGCTATCCGCGGTGTTTCCTTCGCATATACGCGGCGGAAAATCGCAGGATAGGCGTAGGATTTCCCGCCTATCCTGCACATATCCTTGGTGTAAATTTTGCTTGACGCGCAGTGCAAGGAGTAGCCACGACTCCATATGAGGTCAATTTCACGTCCAGCGCAGATACAGCGATCGAACACATAGGAAGCTATGATAGACCTTATGTTTAGCGCTTTCCAGATGAATGTGATGACCGACCAATAGCAGCCACAAGAAAACAGTTACTGAGGAACCTGTAGGTCGCTCAGTAGGCAACATAGACAGGGCAGGTTGAAAAGTGCTCACACAGAATGAAGAACGATGACTGTTTCCTGCTCGATTTCGGACGCACTCATGGTACGTGGCAGAAGGGTAGATGATGAGTGAAGGCTAAAGCGCATCTGCTGCGACATCGGTCAATGTGGAGCTGGCAGAGCGCTTGGAGTAAATTCGACAGCATACCACGCTGTTCAAGCTTTTGGAATTGATGTAGCAGGTAGCCGTACAGCGAGGCTACGAGGCGATAGCTGTAGGCGGTTCTCGTCAAGCCACGGAAGCGAATTTGAGTCTATTGCTGTGGCTACTGACCTGAATGACACGTTGAGGCTCAGTCACGATCTATGATAAACTTTGTGGAGGAGGAGGAGGGGGGTCCAGCGGCCGATAGCGCACGCGCACCTCGACTTCTTGACGGTGCCGGCGCTCACTAGCTAAGATCAATTCGTATTCAGATGATCCATTGGGCTGGTATGAATCGAAAGATAGAATGCTTACGGCTTTCGCCATGCCATAGTATCTGACATCTGTCCGGCTTCAAGTGGAGGCGTGCGTCAAAAAACCCTCGGGGATTTCAAAGATGTACAAATTTGACCCAAGGTCCGAGGGGGAGGGTGGAGCAAGCCGGATGTGAGACTTAGCTAGCAGCAATCGGGAGATGACGTACGTTGGTGGACTTGGAAGTCAAGGAGGACACGCGTACAGAGAAGTCAGCAGGCGAGGGAAGGCAAAGTCAGACAGCAAGGAGAAGTGCTGGGATTTATGTCGGTGGAGTCGACGTTCCGAGCAGACGTCTACACTTAAGGCACGTGGCGCATGGTAAGGACCCGTAGCTACAGGGCTTGGCGAATCAGCTCAACTGCGGGGCGATGTATATGGCGTTGACGACGTACATAGCTTACGCATGTTGAGTGACGACAGTGAGAATTGCTGCAATAAGCAGCGATTTGTCAGGGTGGTCAAGGTTCAGCCTGAGTAGACTGCCTTTCGACAATTGTAAATTCAAGACAGATGATCATTCCTGTACACGCACCCTGCCAGTGATACGAACAGCACCTATTTGACTGTTCGACATCCGTTGAACATTAGGTTAGATCGATGCTGCAGGGCAGTTTATTGCAAGTTAACGGTCTTTACCGATGAGTCGGAAGTTCGCTGAGGCAATGGCAGCAGATGGGGAGTAGAACCTAGCGAGCGGATAGAGGTAAGTATCAAGCGCGGATACATACTCACCGCAGCCGCGTTTGCACGGGCTAGGTACTGTACAAACTCATGTTCAGACGCCAAAGGTGCTGCGGTTGTTCAGTGAGCGAGCTGTACTTTTGGTAGGGGCGAGTGCGTACCAGATACTGAAACGCGCTCTGAGCCTTGCAAAGCATATGGTTGAGATGTACAGCCCGTTCCCGATCCTCAGGATCTTAGTTCAACACAAACTGAAATCACAGATTTGTATCAGAGTCTGGCAGCCGTGAGGATCATCCGCGCCGTGGAAGAGACTACGTTCATAAGAGATCATACGAGTCTACAACATCATGATGCCATCTGTGCTCGCAGCTTGCGACTTCCTAGGGCTACTAGCATCGAATACTAGACCTTCGAGTGAGTACAAGCAGCGACCCGTAGTATTATGAAGTGACCAGTCCAGAGACGCACTTTGTGAGGCCGTGTCCCAGCCGCAACAGAGCCAGACACTGAGTGAGAGTAAGCAGTAGGCTGAGACGCGTCGGCAACGCGTCGGTGGCTGCAGCGCGCGGCCTCGACTTCGAGATCTTGATCAAATTCAGAGTCATTGCCTCGTGCGCGAGCTTCTCGGTTGACATCGTCGTCATTCTGTCTGAAGAAGGTGGCCCCGAATGCCTCGATACATCGCGAGAAGTGCACACCAGAAGATGAAGACGTGTCGGGGCAGGAAGCAGTGCCGCCGTTGAAACTGGCTTCTCGCATGTTGAGGAGCATGTGCGAGAGGACGATACTCGTGAGACCAGAAAACAGCGTTAGCCAGGATACAGAGGGTTGACGGCCAGCGGACTATCCGACGAACGCAGTTGTCAGGACAAACATGCGGCTGAAGATCTGACGACGACATGTTAGAAAAAGATCGTAAACATCCCAAAGAGGTGCGAGAATAGCACTCCTGTGACGTACCTCCGCGAGATAAGGCGTGATTTAAAGATCAGTCATAACAAAGAGCAATCTGCCGGTGATAACGCGCTGGACTCAGTCATAATCGTAACTGCTGAAGCGCGCCTGCGATACACATGAATTCGCATACATGTCGAGGTACAATCTGTAGGCATACCGTCTCTCAGGAGCAGTACACCCACACCCACAGTCGCTTTCCGTGGTACTTGAGAGGCAAGCCGGACGACATGGTACATGCACCGCCAGATGACGATGAAAACAATAGCGTTACTGGCGACGACTGCGACGGTGATAACTGGTGTCGTTCGTGAGCACGTGCACTGATGTGCTGACGAGAGGACATACGAACCTCTGGCAAGGGTCTCGGGCGGGACGACGAGGACTGGCTCATGGCGCAGGATCCGAGTGTGCGCCTGCGCCGAGGGAGGAACAACGGGGACAGTCGACGCGTGCTGGTGCGGTCGTCTCGAGCGGGGCAAGTGTGCCGTGTCGTCGGTGCCCGGTCTGAGTATGCGGTTCGGTGCTAGGAGGGATGCCGAGCGCGCTCGAGACGTGTTGGTGTTGGGCGGGACAACGGGCGCGTGGGCCGGGTTCCTTGAGATGTCGTGGGTGCGGGGCGTTCGACCGGCTTCAGGTCATGGGACGTCTCTGGCTTGGTACTGAAGTGCAGAGGTGAGTGGAAAAGAGAGATGTGTGTACGTACCAGGCAAAGGACTAGAGACCTTGGACTGCTTTGAGCTGGGACCTTGCATTCTAGCCGTATGCGGCTGGTTGGTAGCTATTCGCGCCACCACAGTCGCAAGGAGCCGTGAGTACAAACTGCGCTGGAGGTCTAACACTCTAGTACGCACCGATTGTACAAATACTAGTACTCCACTCTGTCCATTGTGCTCATCTCTCCGTGGAATCTGAGCATCGACAAAAGGGTGTTTGCCTTGAAGAAAGGCACCTCGCGTAGTTGTGCCTGAAAGCGCTGAAGGCAAAGATGTCATGAAAGGGCTCGCTCTGCTTGACGGCGGAGATGAAGACGTGGATGGTGTTGGTGTGTGCAGCGCGATAGCCATGGTCTCGCCAAGTACGCCCTACAAGAGACACCACACCTTGAGGGAGGGCTACGCTCAGGGAGTGTTCGCAGAGCAGGCCGAGGTAACTGCATTCGAGACAAGAGGAGTACTACCAATGCAGGTGCAGCCCCAGTCTGCGGGCGATCGAGGACGTGATAATATGCAGCGCTTCGCTCACGGGTGAGGCCAGTGTGAGCTCGTTCCCTGACGAGGATGTGTACCCATTACATAGGATTCCAGAGGTCCCATGGTAGTATCAATGGCAAATGACAATGCGAAACGAGGATTTCATTGGACGGGCTGGTCGTGTGGACATAGACTGGTACGGGGTAGGTGATGGGACAGTCCTCGCGGATTGTCCAGTGGGGATGCCCGTAGGCCTCGGAGAATCCGCGTAGGAGATGCGGAAGTGAGTGCGATAGCCTGTGAGTAGTGGAGGCGCGAGCCGCAGATGGAGACGGTGGGCAGAAGGCGGCGCGACCGCCGACAACGAGGAGCGAGAGCTCGCGGATGCAGCGCAGATGGGTGGGCGCAACTTCCGGACGGGGAATGCCGATAGGCTCGGTACATTCCGCGCTTCCGCCACAGACGCGTCGGTGGCTGCTCACGCCGCCACGCTGACCGTGTTCTGCTACATGGCCGAGCAGTGCTCTCAGACACACTCCGTACACTGCGCGTCAAGCAAAATTTACACCAAGGATATGTGCAGGATAGGCGGGAAATCCTACGCCTATCCTGCGATTTTCCGCCGCGTATATGCGAAGGAAACACCGCGGATAGCAGGAAAATCCGGCACATTTTCGGTGCCTTTCCTCAGCATGTCCATCGCATGTCCTGCTTAGGATAGCCGGGTGTCACATGCAGGCCTCCTCAGCCCGCCGGTACAGTAGCCTCGCGACGCTCAAACAACGTTGTATATCACCGTAATACATACAATGAGACACATCAGTTAAAGACAACGGACTGCACAAAGGTAAAGGACTTGATTCCAGTGGTCCTGAGGTACTCGAGGCCGGCAGTCTGAGGCACCGTATATAAGGCATGGGCAGTCTAGACACTGCTCTTCGTCACACGAGGTGTTGACACTTTGACGTCTGGCGGCGATCCTATACGCGCAATAGCACCTTGTATAGTATTCAGGCCGCGTTGGGATCTACAATAAAAAATTAGAAGACCATGAATTCGCAAGAGGGAAGCTTAATGAGCATCGAGACGTACCCCGTGGAACATCGCATCACAGCCGCAGCTCTGAGCCTTGTACTACCCGGTCCATTCATTGCTGAACTCCCTGCAGTGCAATGTCGAGTACCCAGCAGTCAGCCAGCTCCCAGGATCCTGGCCGTCGTCGTTCACCAAGCGCGGACCCCTTAAGAGATCGTCAGCACGTCGAGATGGCTCGCGCCGGCCTTACGCAGCATCGCGGCGACTCACCTACTCAAAGCGAAGGAGGCGGTTCGCATAGTACTAGGTCGTTCCGTCGCCCGGACGCACCCGCTGGTAACCCGGGGATTACTGCGCCACGCAAGCCCTTCCGTAACCCATTCCGAGACTCGGAGAGCCAGCCGCCGCAGGCTTCGGGTTCGCAGTTGTCGAGGCGCCGGAGCCGAAGTGAAAGTCCAAGGCGACTGTCGACAACTTCGCGTGCGTACAGACATTGTTTTGAATGGTATGCTCGACTCATGAGATCATTTTGACTACAGGACTCACCTCAGCACCGCCACCATCTTTGAAAACAACCTTCCAACTTCAAAATGCAGTCGGAAATACGCGAGGACCAACTCAGATGAGTAAGGCGACCTCGGATCTGATCCATGTCATGAAGGCAGATCTTGCACGCATGGAGAAGGAGCTTACCGGGCAGCGCAGACAGATCGCCGATATGGAGGATCGCCTGAACACGTCACACGAGCTCTTTGGCCGCACGGACGAGATGTATGACCTGCTTCATAGAAAGCAGGTAGGAGTCCTCAGCCGGCTGAACACCATCGAAGACTCTGAGGAGTGTCTCTGGGACGAGTTCGAAAGATTGAAAAAATCAGTGCGTCGGCGGATGGCGAACCAAGCGGAAGTCACAGTACCTGCTGGTGTCGGCGACGAGGCGGCGCCGGTGGAGCTGCAGGAGCCGCAGGAGCCGCCTCAGACGATGGTTCGTAAGAAAGACACACCTCTGCAAGTAAGTCGTCGTTTCATTAGATCACAGCTCAATCGTGCTCACCTTGTGTGTCAGACTGCCACGCGGAACGCAATCATTGATATGATGGGGATTGCACCAAAGGCCGCCCTGCCTAAGCCATTAGGAACTTCGGCCGGAGTATTCTGGCTCGAGGACAATCAGGGGAAGTGTGTCCTGCGGCCAACATGGGAGATCGAAGGCGAGAACAAGGCGGGATGGTTTCGTGAGGTTGCGGAGAAGGTCAAGCTGGATGGTCACAAGTGGCATGGTAAGTTGGCTGTAGAGGATCTGGAGAAGACGTCACTTGCCCAGGTCGAAGCGGCGGTTGCAACTGCCTGGCGATCTATGAGAGATCGCTATAAAGCCGAAGGAAAGGGCGAGGCGGCGAGGGCCGATGATCAGCGGCTAAGGCGGCATGAACAGCGTAAGAGAGCAGTACGTACAGAATGTTGTTCATCAGCCTGTGTCTTGCAACTGATAGAATTCCTCAGAAATTGTCCGATCGCAAGGAGTTGCGCGATCATGTTGAGGAGATGCAGGCGCCGAAGTGGAATTGGCTCATGAGCGCGTGGAAGTACATGTCGACGGACGAGACAGATGAACCCGAGGAAGATGGCCAAGGTGCTGTCGATGCGAACACGTCAGAGGAGGCCCAAAATACGAGGGCGAGAGTCATATCCAAGTCTAAGGTGTGGATCGCACATTGGCCGTCATATCGCCCATCAGAGGTGCGATATTTCATCATTTGTATGTTGGGCGGACACTGATAGTTGTTGGTTCAGCTTGAGCGGCCGTTGCGAAAGCTGGATAAGGTGATTGTCACGCACCGCAAAGAAAATTCGGCCTCAGGTGGCGCACAACATGCTACCCGTACTCGCGGTGAGAAGCGGGACAAGCCGCTTCCAAACGTGTGCAAGGTGAAAGGTGCGGTCAAGATTCCTCGCAGTCTTGTGGACCGCGAGTGGCTCGAGAGGCATCCGGAGCAGAACATACCTCGGCTGATGCTGTTTGATGATGTGGGCAGTTCGGCAGATGTTGACGTGGAGATGGAATATGATGGCGGGGACGAGGGCGATGTTGGGGCAGCAGATGACGGAGCAAAGTCAGAAAGGCAAGTCCCGCCTACGAGGGAATCCTCTAGTAGTATCGATCCAGCACTGTCCAATGATGTAGCGAGTCCGAGTCATTAAGGACTCGGCCGAGATGTACTTACTGGAGCAGGTCCGACTCGTCAGAGAGCTGCGCATTGAGACAGCGGCCGTAATGGGTTTGCAGAGCGAGTTGGAGAGCTGTGCACCATGTTCTGAGGGTATCAGAGTGAGTCGTAAAACATAGCAGCCTGTAAGCAAGCCGGAGAGCCGTGCAATGAGACAATGATCATGATGGGAGGCAGTTACTGGCGGAGCAAGGCGGCCTGAGTCAGAGAGCAAAGACGTGCTTACTTATGTTTATATATCCTCGGTGTCGGCCGCATCATCAAGGACATCTGGTTCTTGAGTATCCTGCAGGAATTGTGAGATCAAACCTCTGAATGGCATCGGGAGGCAATGTACATGGCATAGAGACATTGTTACCCATAGCTCTTGCTCGCAGTGAGGCACTGTAGTAAGAGCGAAATGACCAGAGAGCTGGCAAGCATTGACGACCTCGGGTGCTGACAACATGTTTGCACGCCATGTTGCAATGCCTAGGTCGGTTGCCCTTCGATTTGTTGAGTTTTTTTGCCTTGAATACCAGCAGTAGCAGTAGTAGGTACATACCGTGAAGTCCAAGGCATCTCCGGAATGTCATCATCATATATGAACTGCTGCACAACAGCACATGTGCATTCGAGGGGTACGAGGCGAGCATCGCGTCGGGTATGCCTGATGTGGAAAATGTGAGAAATGCGCACAGGAATACGCCCATTAATGTAAGCGTAACAGGAGTTCTGTCCGCGATGCGTGTTATACGCGCCATATCGCAAGCCGTCCACGAGAATGTTGGAATATGAAGGTATGTTGACTGCGACAAATGGCTCGCCTGCATCCGCTGGGGCCGACGCAGCAACGATGGATGCTGTTGCACCCCAGGCATCCTGAAGGAAGCGCAGAACGAGCGCGTACAATCCTAGCTGCTCCAGCTTGACCTTCCTTGATTGCGATGGAAGTGCGATGCGTTCTGGGAACTTTGGGTATCAATGCACGTCGTTGCAAAGAGACTGATTGATTGATACTTACCTACTGTCGCTCCAGCGGAGTCCCGAGATTTCATGCCCGCTATGAGATTCAAGAGAGTACCACGCTGCTGAGCGGGCTTCGAGCTCCCTCTCATTTGATCCTTCAATTTCGCAAGAATCTTGCTATCATCATCGTTCTTGTCACTCAGATTCTCGAGATGTTGCATCTACAGATAGTACTAGTTAGTATCAGAGACAGTGCCGTCAGGAAGAGGTGCTCTTACCAAGTCACTGATCAGCTGGCACTTCACCCAGCCACGCATCATTGTCGCCTCCAGCTCCCCACCTGTGTGCCCGTTGGTCTTGAAACGCCCAAGAAATCCATTGTTGCGTTCATAAGGGTAAGCCCACCAGGAGTATGAGGGCCCGTTGCGTAGGAAGAATTCGCTGTTGTGCGTTGCGAGATGAAAGTAAGGGGTCAAATGACAGTTCATCGCCGCCCAGGATTGACATGCCCGGGAGTGGCAGTCCTGTGCGCGTTCAACCTCCTGCGGAGATATCGAGCATGAGGCCCATATCCGAATAGCCGTGCACAATTCAAGTGTGTTCTCGTAGTGCCGTTGATAGCTCCGGTCTATCTCCATGTGATCGACCGCTTCCAATGCTGCTGTGGGAACATCTGCCTGTGCTATGAGCTGTCCGCGCCGACGAGAACGAATCAATGCTTCCTTCTTATCAAGAGCCTTCCCAGCGTTTGTGGAAGTGTTCGGTTTTGGTGCGCTTCCGCCCGGAATGCGGCCATCAACTTGCCAGCAGTAGTAGAGTACGACCGGAAGGATGTGTACTAGGTTCCGCCACTGGTCCGCTTTCACGGACCCGCCCTCAGCGATCTAATTCAAGAAGTCTAAAACATCAGGGATTGAGTAGTACGAACAAGACCATACCTTCCGAGGAGCTCGGCCAGATGAGGCAGGCCACCATATTTCATTCAGAATCTTCTCGAGCTTGGATAATGGCTTGTCATTGCGGCTGCGAGCAGTGAACAGGCCGCTTCCAACTAAGATCTCCTGGAACGTATGTCGAAGTTGGACTGTGACACTCAGAGTCTCAGAGTCTCATCATGAATACAGAATTTGAGCGAGAAAGACTTACCGAGAAAGCTCGCATGCATGAACTCAGGCGGCGAGCTTCTGGCTGGCATCCATCCAGGCAGAAGGTCCAACACGGACCATCGTACACCGCGGCGCTCTGCAATTTCTTCGCGCAGCTCTTCGTCAGCGTCTTGCGCCTTGTAAGCATACTTGAGAAAGCGCCAATCATCGCGCATGCGGAGAGCTCAAAACAGAGGAGTTACTAAGTACTGACTAGTAGTAGAAACTTTGGAACTCACAATGTCGATCAAAGCACTGCGCGGTCGTCAGGGAGTCGAACGTTTGGTAGCAGTACGGACATGTGTAATCCTTCGATGTCGGGCCTCGCAGCCCAGCGGCCTTCCGGCTTGCAGGCAGGTCAGAAACCCCCATGTACAGTTGACCGTGAACGAGCCTCTGATCTTTAAGACCATGTACTCTGAAATATTCTCCTATAATGTGCATCTGTCAGTTTACCGTGACCGTGACAAGAGAAAAGTACTGCGAGTTGGAAGGGACTCGGAGTCGAAGTAAGTACCTATTCCTAGCGCTTGTAAATCGTCCACAAGCGGTTCAAAGATGTGGTTCAGCTGCTCAAGCGATGGTTCAAACGGGCCAGGTGGCATGGAGACGAGTATTGTCTCTTCACGGAGGTAACGTTTGCCACGCGGATTGTTGAGGATAGTGAGATAGACCGCGCCAGATGAGTGGTGGCCTTTCTTGACGGAGCTGAACCTATTATCCATGGAGATAAGCACGAAGACCAAAAAAGCGTTGCAGAGACAACATCGCCTCACCAATCGATGTTGAATGCAAACATCAGTCCGCACGGCAGCGACACAAACCGCTGATCCAGTTCGTGGACATCAACATCTTGAACCGTCCACTTGCCACCTCGACGCCGTTCCAGACCTGCTTGAGCGGCACGCCAGCCCCAGCCATCGTAGATGTCGTTCATGCGCACTGCGGGATCGGGGAACGCGTCCTTCTCCCGCAGATCGGATGGCGGTGATTGACCGGGCTCATCACCCTCTCGACGCCAATGTTGTAATTCGTCGTACTTGCCGGGTTGGAGCAGGATTCGTTGCAGAGCATTTCGCAACGGCATGACGGGGAATACCTTCACAGGAATCCGTTTGATCCGTCCACTAGCCATTCTTTTCGTCGTGAAGAGTGTACCTGAGCAATCTTCCTGGTCGCAGAGTCCGGCCGGGTCGAGCTGATATAGTGCAGAAGGATGATGTCGGCACCAGCACGTATCACAGAGGAGATGGTAGACGATATGTGCGTCCGGATCGACGCGCAGGCGGCGTTCCACTGTGCGCAACGTACATGCCATCTTGTCGAGCCCGTGGAACTGGTAGCCCGTCTCACGAGTGATTGACATAAATGTGTCGCGCTGTGACTCCAGCATGCTCTGGATAGCTTCGTGTGTCGCATGGTGGAAAGTCGCTAGGATGAACGCATTAATGTACGCGTTTCGGATGAGGCGATGTTCATTGAACGCAGGAGGAAGCTCGCTTTCGAGGTCTGCGTCCGCGGATTGTTGTGTCCCTTCGAAGCGATCACCGAAGAGGTCCTCGCGCGAGACGTACGCGGGATCGCCATCTAGTTCAGGCAGATCTTCGTCCGAGTCATCACTACGCCGGTCGTCGTCGGAGCTCCTTGCGTCGTCGCTTTCAAGTGGCACTGAGTCATCGTCATGCCAAGCGAGGCTGCATGGAGAAAGAGGGATGCCGAATTCCGAGTCTGAGACACTGTCGACGTCCATAGCCGAGTCTTGAGAGAAGGTTGTGTCCGCTTGTGTCCAGATGACCGAACGGTCATCAAGCTCATCGGCGAGCCCGATAGATGCAGCGGGCGAGACAGGGTTGGAGCATTCGAGCGTACCAGGGGATACATGACGCCTCAGCAAAGGTAGATCGCCATGAGCGTGGTCCGCTGCATAGCCGTCGAAGTCCGGTGGCCCCGAGGGATTACCTGCGAGGACAAGTCAAATGGAGTGCCTGAGCACACGAAAATAAGCTTACCATGCAGCCTGGGAGCAAGATCCCCCCTCTCATCTCCCGCGTGGTCCAAACCGCCGACAGGACTTCGAGAAGTAGTGCCAGTCAGTTCGATATCTGCAGGGACTCTCGACATGAGTCAAAAGCAGGTTTTTTTGACTGTGTGGAACGCACGGAAACGCTGCCCATTTCCCTGAATTTCCTCTTCTACTGACGGCTCTCCCTCTTTGTTACGAACGCCTGCCGCGGCATTTCGCCTGTCGCAATGTCTCGGTCACTGTCTGGCATCAGGAGACAAACGGGATGATCCTGACCTTTGTTCTTCAAACAGATGAGCAGTTTTTTTATGTTGTTTTTCCTTCTTGAGATGCTTGCGAATCTCGTCTGCTGTGTGCATACAACGCCCAGGGTTTGCCTTACACTCTGAACAGGTGCAAGTTCGGTAGCCAGACTCAGAGACCCGGTAAGAGTACGGCTTTGAGCGTTGCGAGGGGTCGGCAGAGATTGGAACCCTGGGCATGTCGAAGGAAAGAGGAACAGAGAATTTATTGACGTCGGTAACGGTAGAGTACAATTTGTGACTGTATGCGTGAAGAGACGCACGACGCGCGCGACGCGTCGTGGCGAGTCACGGGCTCGCGTCATGGTGGCTCTGACCGAGGATAACGGCCCGATATGGGTCTCCGATCGATATCCACAGGACAGGCCCAGGATATCCCTCCTGTCCGCCTCTTATCCTGCGGGGAAAATCTGCGCTGACGTGCGGTGGTACTGGGTCCGAATCGCACAGAGCGATAAGTACTCACAGCCATCACCTCTTACACTGACAGCGTCTAGGTACGCCTATCACCCTAAGTCGCCCGTTTCTGAACACATCCGAGTCAACAACAAGATTTAGCGGCGTACACTGGCAGGTGCCCACTAATCTCTACAGGTACTTTGTGCCAGGCTACATCCATGTCTAGACGGCTTGTCTTCTATCTCATATGGTACGCTGCAATCATGTATCTGTCACGGTCTCTATGATCACTTACTCATGTACTACGTTCACAGCTTCGTCAAACCCGCCTTGAGATTAACCTACTGCTCGTGACTTCTAGCTACCATCTCGACTCGAGATCCAGGATTACTACGGCGAGTGCATCAGAGCGTTCCGCCATCCACTCGAGTGTCGGCTCCATCAGCATCCGCTCAGCGCATTGTCCGACATGCTCCCGGAACAATGGACCCGTAAACGAGCCTGAAGAATCTTCCTACTTAGCAATGATGGCGAATAGCATTCTTGATATCATCTGCGACGAGATCGACACGGAAGGGAAGCAGAAGTACGATGTGATCTATCCTGCGTGAGTGGACGGACGCCTTCGAGTGTATGTATGCGTGCCGGTTGAGCTGATGCGCGACGGCTAGGCCGGAGACAGCAGACTCATAGGGAGGCCCAGATCAGTGCACGCAAACCGCAGAGGCGCGCTGGGCGTGCACTGAGGTGAATAGCTCTCCTTTCCAGGTTCTCTCCCTCTTTTCTACTAACAAATCTTGTTGTACAACACACAGCAAGCCTTTCAGATTGCGCCGCACCGCCGAGTCACCGGCATGGCCTCGATTAGTGCGGTGCATTTTTACAACATCCGTGGCTTCGGACGCACCACGCAGGCGGATCGGCTTACGCACTCAGACCTGTCAGTGCACACCAAATGAGCGTTACCGTTTTCTCGACCACGAGCAGCCTGGGGGACAACCGTGATCGTCCTCCAGTCGCTACGCTGACACATCCCTCACCACGTCTGCCCACACGTCTCTCCTCTGCCGTGTACGCTGACCCCGCCGCTGACTCCCGCCCCTCATCTGACGCAGGCATCGTCCGTGTATGTCCCCGCCGCTCTGCCAGTGCCCATGCCCTTCGGTATTCCTATGCTGTCCTACTCACCTGCCACGTTCCCGTCATCATGACACCGGTCACAATGCTCTTCCCTATCTCGCGCCGACGCTGGTCAGATATCCACGTATGTCGCCTCGCTACGTACCATGTTCCGTTGGCCTTGTGTGTGCGTATTGATGAATAGGGGGCGCTTATGTTGTAACTTAGGCCGCCGTAGAGTTGGCCGATTTGGGGTAGCTTCAAGTCAGCGTGGTGAGAGTAGGGCGTGTTAGACTGTAACAATTAGGTACCATCGGACGCGGGGCTCGGAGGAGATGGAGTCGTGGTTAGACTATATGCGTAGCTTTAGGCACTAGCAGAACGACGGCGACGCCGCGGTGTTGGTCGATGACCGCAGTGAGGCGGGCCGCGAAAGGATCTTTTTCATGCAACTGCAAGTTGTGTCCGTTGCCCATCTATGAAGATGTACGCCTGGGCTTCTAGCGTCTTGTCTACCTACAGCGATTGACAGCCCAGATTCATGCGAGCCGGATGACCGAAATGCAGTATGTCAGAAGATTGAGATTGAGAAGCGGGCACGAGAGGATTGCCGGGATGTCTTCAAGATCGCAGAAAGGAGGTTTTGGATGTCCTTGGTATGCCGGATGTGGCGACTCGGAGATTGAGAGCTCCCAGCAGCTCGCAAACACTGTTCATGCATCAATGCATGAGCGACCATCGACATAACACTGTGCTAACAATAAAACCTAGACTGCGAATATTGGCATCTGCCAAGCACAACTATACATATATTCAAGTTTGAAAATTCCGATGCCATCGTACGCAAGCCCTCAGCGACACCGTGAGTCTGCTCACAAAACAGCTCCAAGCGCAGATTAGTAGTGTCCTACGCTTCAGCCGATGCGATCTCCGCCGTCTCTATATCCATCCGAGTCATCTCAACCTCAAGCCCACCGTCATCCTCGAACTCGTCTTCGTCGATGTCCGTATCTTCATCATCATTCCAGCTGGCCCCGAATGCATCGACACCCCGCGCGAAGTGTAGGTCAGACATGATCGCTGACTGGGGCGCGCCAGGGTTGGGAAAGGTCGACGTGCCATAGCCACTAGCACAAAGGCTCGCTGCTCGCAGGTTGAGGAGCATGCGCGAGAGCAAAATGGTCGATATTCTGCAGATAATACACGAAACGGGCAGTTAGTAACTGGTGAGACAGCGGAGTGTTTCGTGAACAAGATGACCAACGGAATAGTAATAAAACTTATGCCAACATCTGTCTGAAGCGGCGGCAGGTTGAGTACAAGCAAAGCGCGACGCCATCATTGCAGAGCCTACCGTGTAATACGTAGCAATGTTGATACAGTTCAAGATGAAGAGGGATCTAATGGAGAATTCGCTGTTTAGGTCAACAGGAACAGAAACCGTCACTTACGCAAAGTATACTGTTCCTGTGTGGTAAAAAATCAGCTCCATATGCTGGATGGGTGAGATAGACACATGAACTGACCGTCTTTCAACAATAGTGAGCTGAGAGACACCTCGATGTTCGCCTCGCGGGAAAGTCGTACCACATAGTATGTGCGGCGCCAGGTAACGATGAACACAATAGCATCTGCAGCCATTGAGGCAGCTATCGACGCAATGTACACTGTTGTATTGCATGAGTCTGTAAAACGTTCTCATAAAGTGAGGTACATACATCTAGAAACAACCAGTGGTCAATTATGTCTCAAGGTGCATAGATGTTCCATATGCGTACGGGGCAGCCACTGCAGTGTCGACAACCATACACCTGACTGGTGGAGGGACAGCGACGCCAAGCATATCGATAGCGCCGAACTGCGAAGTGTCATGGTTCATCGGACAACGAATCAGGCTGATGAGCACTCACCGCATCATAAGCACTGCGCAGAAGGAGCAATAGGAAGATAACGGCAGGAAGTCGCCAATCTCTGCCGTTGATAGCATAGGCACGCAAGGCAGCTACGACTAGGACACAATCAGTGTTGAATCAAATGGAGATCACACTCAGGCTGACCAGCCATAACCGCGTCGTAGCTAGCCATGATAGCCTGGAGTGCAATTGCTTTGGGAACTGCTCTAATCAGCACTCCTGTAAGCCTTTATCTACAAACAGTACATGCTGAGAAACATCACCTCTAGGTTCAATGGTAGTGAACTATGATTCGCAGGTAGTTGTGCACGTGGCGGAGCTACTGCGGGCAACTTACCTTGCATTCCAAATCCGTGAAGTTTTGAGCACATACCAGGCCCAAGGAGAGGACGGTGAACACTTCCAGCAATGCGTAGAGAGCCGAGACCAAAGAATAGCCACGGCTCCATATCAGGTCAATTTCACGTCTGGCGCAGATACAACGCTCGTACACGTAGGAAGCTAGGATAGATGTCCGAATGAGCACTCTCTCCCGAGAGATGTCACAACTAACCGATAGCAAACACAAGGACACAGTTACTGATGAACCTGCAGGTCATCAGTATGCAATATTCGGACAGAGCAGGTCACAAAGTGCTCACGCAGATTGAAAAATGCTGACGCTTTGCTGCTCAACTGAGGCACTCATGAAATCTGGCAGAAGTGCAGATGATGAGTGAAGGTCAAAGGCATCGGCAGCGAGACCGATTTATAAGGAGCAAGCAGAGTTCTTGAAATAAGCACTAATCTCGGCGACGTACCACGCCACTGGAGCCACGCATCGAGTTGCACGCCACAAACGCGACGCCGCCGTTGGTGCGAACTGCAGCCCACCTCCCCTGTTTGCCTACTTACACTGCCATGCTGGCGATGCCTGACCTATGACCTACAACCGCTCGCGATTCTCATGCTACGTACCCGGATTATTCGCTGGATTTGAAGCGGTGCGCCGCTTACTCCGACAACAGATCCTGCGGCGTAAGTCGAGCCTCAGGCCTCTTGGATCGTCTGTCAAGCACCGGTTATACAGCATATGATGTACCGACTGAGTGACAGGGAAGTCGAGCTTGAATGGATCGACACCTTACGGACATCGTCTGGGGCCACCTCAATCGTGTTTCCCTGGCCGTGTTTGCCTGAGCCGCCCCCGTTGGCGTCAATGCCGGCGATGGTGTCATCGCTAAGTACGAAGAACGAATGATCAACCCGCACGTTCAGAATGCAAAGGAGAAACAAATCTACGCACGTTTTCAACGGACTCTGCATCGTCCACGACTCGGAAGCCCGTCAGCGCGAGTGCCTTGATCGTCTTGATCACGAGCCAGTGCACCTCGAGCATACCCGCGGCCTTGGTGAACTGGGGCGTGTGGTCGCCGCCGTTGGGCTCCGTGGGGATGAACTTCAGGTGGAGGGAGGGGGAGCTGCGCCGGGATGACTGTCCATCGCATGAGCAGCGTCTCTTGAGACGCAAAGGCGAGCGCGCCATCAGCCTTCCTTCATTCGGAGCGAGAAGGAGGGAACAGACGCACTCCAAGCATGCCTTGACGCGCTCCCGCAGAGCCTTTACTTCACCCCGGGGCGCCCGCACGATGCAGCGCATCTTCGCGTAGTCCGGAATGACTGCATCGGGATCAGGTAACTCTCTGGAAGTCGATGTTCCAGTCACTTACACACGTATTCTTAGGTGCCCAATGCTTCCTGCTCACGACGCCATGCACATGGCGCGTAGGCTTGATCTGCTGCCTAAGGACCGATACAATCGAGTACGCAAGGAACGCGCACGTACTCAGCGAACTCCACATCGTCCACGACACGGAAGCCCGTCAGCGCGACTTGATCGTCTTGATCGCGACCAGGTGCGCCTCGGGCGTGGCCGCGGCCCTAGTGGGCGAAGAAACATATGAGCATGACGCTCGAGTGTTTCGTCAAGTCGGTGGAGAAGACCGCGGTGGTGCACATCTCGTTCGCCGTCTTGAGACAAGTGGGATATGCACGATATCTGGATCAACCTGTAGACCGACTAGCTCTGGAAGATGGCTTTTTGAAGCATTGACGACCTCGCAAGGACGGAGCGAACTATGCTCGTCCTTCGACCGCTCATCCAGCCCAACGGATGTCAAAAATCGATGTGCACAGATCAAAACATCGCCACTGGCATCCTGCACTTCACGCGAAGTGGTCAATTTGAGCCACCCACAACTGCACGAGTCATCGAGGAAACACAGCCACTCACGATAGAGACATACAAGCCGCCGGGACATCAGCCTGTACAAACAGCGAGTAGAGGCCTGAGGGGCCCTCCGCTATCGCGCCTTGGGTATGATTGGATACGAACGAACGCCCACCCACTTGTCAGCGTACGCATACACTAGGCTAGCCACAGAGATCTATGGGTCGGTGTCACACGTACATGCAAGCTGCAACATCAAGACGGGTACCATCGCTGGCACCGACACCGGCATAGGCGCGAACAGAGGCGGTGGCGGCGGCGGAGGGGGCCATAAGATATTGCGGCAGCGGAGGCATGCGACCTGTGCCCAACGATGTCGGTCCACGTGTAGCGCGACTTCTCTGTCGGTCTCGCTGTGGTGCATTTGACGGAGCCCGCGCTGCCGGCTGAGCGTTCGGTCGGTCGCTGCCCCGAGGGACCACAGGGGCGTGCTGAACCTGCGGGGTGAGCGGCAGCCTTGGTGAGCCCAAGATATGTTTCCCTCGTATCGTTTGGCGCGACAGGGATTGAAGGTGGGACGACGGGTGTGGGCGAGCGGCGTCGCCACTGGCGGGTCTCGGGCGCGCCACCTCCTTGTTACCGGATCCCAGTCTGCGTCAGTGTCTGCGATGATTCAGAGGGCGGGACGACGGGGACGATCGAGACGGTGAGTATCGGGCGGAGGGGCGGGCGGGGAGGGCTCCTCGAGATGTCGCGGGTGCGGTGCATCCGACCGGCTTCATCGGTACCGGAGTGAAGACGTGAGTAGGATCAGGGAAACGGGAGATGGATGTGCGTACGAGGGCGAACGACCAAAGGTCTTAGGCTGCTTCGAGCTGGGACCTTGCGTTCTGGCCGTATGCGGCTTATTGATAGTTATTCGCACTACCACAGTCGTAGAGAGCCATGAGCATGAACTGCGCTACAGGCCAAATCTTCTAGCACGCACCGGTCGGACAGATACTCATACTCCGCCTTGTCCATCCCACGCATCTCCCCGCGGAACCTAAGCATCGACAAGGTGATGACGTGCGCCTAGCGTGTTTGCGAGTTCGACGGCGTAGATGATGTCGTGGATGGCGTTGATGTGCAGCGCAGAAGCCATGGTCTGGCCTAATACGACGTAGAAGAGTCCAAACAACAGAAAAGGCTATGCTCGCGAGGTCTTCACAGAAATGGTCCAGGCAGCTGCGCCGGAGAGAACGAGACGTGCTACAACAGTAACATAGTGCAACAGACGATTGAGGATAGGTTAGTACGCAGCAGCGCTCCGATGGTCGACGCGGCGACAATGCACGAAAGGTCGCAGACGAGCGGCTGCGCGACATCCGGGCGATGCCGATTTCCGCCACAGACGCGTCGGTGGCTGTCCTTGCCTGCCTATGTACTTGGCGTTCAAGTTTGCGGCCGAGAGTCTGTGGCCACGTTAGCTTGGTATTGCGTATGCTACGCCTTGGCGTCGGGGTCGGACAGAGGTGCGCCGACGTATCTCCGATAGGCGAGAACGACTCGGAGTGTCAATTAGTCCGTTTGTATATACCTAGACAAATCCACAAGCGACATGCGAGCGTGTCCGAAGATCTGAGTCGTGTGCAGTTCATGACGTTACATGGAGATGGTGAATTCAGAATGACGAGCTGGGAGACCAGCGGAACAAAGGTCCGACCTGAGACGTAATTAGCAATTAAGTCCTACACCAAACTCGGACTGAGGAGCATACAACGATGGAAAGTTGCGAACATACCGAGCCCCTACATTGTCCTTCGCCTTCAACTAGCCGACCTGTCCGCAAACCAACCCAGGCGTTCACAGCGTAGAACCAAGATATATCCCGCTGTGGCGGTGCGCCTGCCAGTGTCCCCCGTCTTCCTCTTCGGTGAGATCTTCATGTTCATCGTCCGATTCGGCCTCTTTTCCACCATCGTCTCCACTCTTGACGTCCCCATTGGCTTCGGCAATGAGTGAAACGGATCCTGCAAGCATAAATATGCATGTGGAGAAGTATAACGTGGATCGCGACTGCATATGTGTGGCCAGGCCGGAAGAGCCGTTGGTGTCGGCGTGTTTCGCTTTTCGAACTAGGTTGAGGAAAAAGCGCGACAGGATGATGCTCGATAAGCTATATGGAACGCCGCATTCAGCCACGCATGTAACATCATCGAGCTCAACAATGACAACGTACGCCGTTGCAAGATAACACACTCCAAGTGTGACCTGTTGGCAGTGGGACCGGTACGACGAGCGTCAATCGGACTGCGGGAGATGACGCAGGTCCGCCGATATATAGACAACTTACATTAGTCGCGTAGGATACGACGCTGAGAGTATTGATTATGAAGAGCAGCCTAAGGGATGCGGTCAGTGATTGCGCCGCCGCGCCAGCAACAAGGAGATTACCCGAAGTACGTCGTTCCTGGTACGCGTCGACTCAGTTGTGAGCACACGGCATACTACAGGATATTCTACTGACCATCTCTCCATACAAAATAGGTCAACGATGCACTGATGTGTTCTCGGTGGGCAAGTCGTATTGTGTGATATGTACTGCGCCAGGTGGCAATGACGACGATGGCGTCCGCGGCTGTGATAGCGGCCATCGATGCAAAGAATACTGCTCGTTAATTGTCAATATCCATACGCAGTCTAGGGAGGATAGGATACGAACAACTGACAAGAACCGTCAGTGTGTTCGGCTCATGCAGCACAGAGTGATGGATACGAACGGTCGATACAACGGCGATTCAGGCACAACGACACAGCCGAGAGGACCGTCAATGGTCTCCGATTTGACCGCGGTGAACTGTGATGTATATTGTCAGGACAACCTCGGTACCCTCTTATTCTATGGACAGACACTCACCGTGTCGTACGTTGCTGCCAAAAGCGTCAGCACAACCACAGCAAGAGGGGATAGCCTGTCTCGAGGATTGAGGGCGTATACTCGGAGTATAGAGATGACTGCGAAGGCAACATTACTACTCGTTCAGAGGTTCCCGAACAACGTGCTTACCCTCGACGGTAACGATGTACAGAATCTCCATGATTATAACAAAAATATTTACGCGGAACGCCCTGCATCGAGCCATATGTTAGTGATCTTGTTCGCGCGTGTGTCGTGAAACACTTCTCACATCTGATAATCCAGGCCGGGACCCCATGTCAGCGAGTCTCTGGGGCGAAGTAAAGAAGCGATACGTGCATTACAATCAAGAATGGCAAAATCTTCAAAACATCGCAAGATGAGCTGTAGGATGGTTATAGCGTGAAGGAGAATGTATAATACGGAGACCAAGGAGACGCGACGACGCCATATAGCGTCGACTTCCTGTCCCATCCCGAGACATCGATCAAACAGGTAGACCGCTGCCGTTTGTTTGGTCGTCAGTGTTCAGCGTGCCGGCTAGGATTACATGGGCCTCACTGAATGCAGCGACCGCGCAGCTGTTGTCCGACGTCCTAAATGAGATTGATTTAGACCAGAAGCAAGTGGAATGAGTGACAAGTGACCCACACCGAGCGCAACAGAGCGGAGACTTCGCCGACGCTGGAAGCCCCCATGTCGCACGGACAACGAGTCTGTCGCTTCGGACCTGTTATGGGTCGCTCGTTTCCGTCAACGGACCAGAGTTAGGTGTCTTTATGAGCATGCAATGCGCGTACAGTAGTCAAGGTAGGGCTATACACTGTCAGTTTCTTGGAGCTTACCTGAAACATACACCTACCCAGCCGTAGCGCAACCGGCTCTGACGACGCCTGATGACACGGATGGTGGCGAAAAGTTGTGCAATGGAGAGATGGACACCGTACAGGATGCAGCCGCGAGAGTGTTGACCTTCGACTCGTCGGACTCGAGGTCGACAAATGTTGACACCGACGGTTCATCAGATTCATTTTCAGTTCTGCAGCGCTGCGTGTCGGAACCGGACGGCAATCGCGTGCTTCATCCCCAGCAAGGCTAGTCCGCACATCGCTCAACGTCAACGACCATTCTCTCCGGGTTGCCTGGGGGCCCACGTCTCCTTCCCGCTGTTTTTCACGCGCTAGCCAACTAGTAGGAGTATAATGATCCATTCTGCAGTCACGTCGCGGAATGGCGGGTGACTTCATGGGGAAGCAACTTCAAAGTTCAAGCAAGAGAGGATGGGCTGCGCGTCGCCGGCGACACGACCAGGTGGCGGCAGGTGGCGGCCCGGCGCTGACATACGGCGCTTGATTCGACCATGCTGTACCGTTACCCGCTAGTCCGAGGATGAAGGTCTCGCGCCACGCGCCTCAGCCACATCGCGTCTCCAGATATTCCACGGCGCTGTCTAGCTCAATTCTTGCGCAATTGGTTCATAAGGCCCCTTTATTCGTTCCAGGCATCAACACCAGCATAGTGAAGATGTCACCGAGGCGATACACACACAAGAACGCGCGCGAGTTTAAGGACCCGACACCTGGCCGCGTGGTGAGCAAGTTAACGCAGTTCCTGCGCAGCGACTATGTTGCTATCCCCGTGTAGGCGTCGCCGCTTCCGCTCTGCCGATGCTGGTCCCATTCGCGACAAGAAATCTCCATGTCATCACTGTCTGGCAGCTCCCGACGAAGGTGAACACTTTCCTGTGTGCAGGGGGTGCCATATGGTTGCGTTCTGTGGCAAAGCCTGTCAGCAGGCCGCATGGCCTTCCCATAGGTGAGTACTCTCCCGGAAGGATTATGTTCAGTGGCCTCACATTGTTGGTGAATGTAAGGTCTATGTGCGACTACTACTACGCCCTGCGCAGGGAGACGAGGCGGGCTGTCGACGCCGATCCAGACGTAGCTTCCCAACAAGCTGCCCAAGGCGTGCCGCCTCTGGAGGTTCGCGCCGAACTCTTCCGCGACTTCATCGAGCTCTACACGTACACAGCACAATGGGCACTATATGCTGCTCTTCGTGAAGAACACGGGGAGAATACCGATGACCACAACCGGACGCTTCTTACAATCTACCTCACGTATCGGGGGGACTGCAACGGCGACCCCAGCCGGGCGTACTATGTCACTGGCGCGGGTTTGACCTACGTGGGCGGGGGCGTCGCACCCTTGCCACCAGGTGTGGATTCGCAGAAACCCCCGGTGGGGTGTATACGTGTGGAAAGGGATACTACGATCTCCCAATTTCCAGCCGTATCATGGTCTACCGACGATGGTATGGCCTTGATGCCCCTAGTACGCCTGGGGACGAGCGCATCCCCTCCTAGCCATCCATCAATGCTCGACGGCGTCGACGATAAATGGTGGCTCTTCTATCTGCAAGAAACGATCAGTGAAGGATTGGTCTTCAGGGCCCCCAGGCGCGGTTCTGGGAACCATATGTTGCTAGGCCGTCTGGAAAAGTCAGGTTCCGGATGGCGCTGGCGTCCGCTGAGGGCCTCTGCCAGAGCACCTCGAGAGGATAGCGATTAGAGGGTAAGTCTGTTCGCTCTCGGTCTGACTTATTTGCTGACAGATATGGGACTTCAAGCTTGCGTCGTCTATGATCTGCGTATATACTGTACTTGTATTCCAGCCGCCGGATGCGGTGTTCATCGATTTCCTACTTTACGGAGTCTCTGGAGGCTTGACCTCCCCTATATAGCTTACTTAGTACTGCCAGCTGGCGGCGCAGCACATGGCGTCCGATGCTTCCAACAGAGTACATTTCATGGACACGGTTTGGCAATGTGCTCTCAAATTTTGGGGACTCTTGTCGTGGGTACAGTACTCAGTACAGTAGGCAGCCCGTGCTTCTATAACATTTTATTAGTAGGATATGGAATATATTTTGTTCGGTGACAACACCCACAGCCAAAGTGATATTAGTACTAGTAGTGGACAGAAGAGGAGGCATGCATCGAGCTAAATTGAGGCCACACTTTTCATTGTGTACATACCCTACTACGGATGCCCTACTGGTAAGTACCACCTCTTCCAACTTCCCTAGGTCCGGTAGCTTCTGTGATGATCTACAAAGGCACATGCAGTACAGTCTCGTAGGCCAAGCCCAATCTTGATATCACCCCGCTCACCTCTACCACCACCGCAGCAGACCACAGCTCGTAACATCCGAATGTTCCACCAGGATCGCCTCAAACTCCCAATACACGTCTCGTTCGGACGCCGTGTGCTGCGCCGCCAGCTGGCACGAGCGCTTACGGCCTCCGACTCTGGAATTGGCCTCGCGCGCGTTCTTGTGTGTGTATCGCCTCGGTGACATCTTCACTATGCTGGTGTTGATGCCTGCAAGAATTGAGCTAGACAGCGCCGTGGAATATCCGGAGACGCGATGTGGCTGAGGCGCGTGGCGCGAGACCTTCATCCTCGGACTAGCGGGTAACGGTAATGCTGTCCGAGCCTCGTACTTAGTATTACTACAGGCTGTAGCATCCTCACAGCGGTAGCCGTAGTATAGTTGAGAGTTCATGAGCCTTTCATCACTGTATTCTACATTCTAGCCGTCAATCATCAAATTTTAAATTCCTGTGAACACAGGTACTGAGCGGACCATTGACCATTTAACGCGCCAGACCACTGGGCTTGAGCACTCAGGGCAGGGCCGAAGCATACTAGTACTATCGAGTAATCACAGATGGCCGCTCTCTACGTCTGCAAAATAGGCCGCTATCTTATGGCCTGTGCTGTCCTCGGACGCTCACGCGCTCACGGGGAAAGCGAGCCACTAGGCCACCTATAGTCGCCGCGCCGCCGTAGCCTGAGCTGAGGGGCCGATCTGTCAATCCATGAAAGTCATTGACCGCATAAATGCGGTGGAGGCACATCCCGTGGGTGACTCAGTCTAACATAGTAAGAGTCAGAGCAGATCGCATTGCGAAGTTAGCATGAACTCACAGTGCATCGGAACGGTGTACCATAATGGGGATGGCCCTGGCATCCACATTGGCATCCACGCTGGTTGGAACGCAGGTGCTTGCGTGGTGATGCGATGCTGCCAGGGTGCCGGCGGATACCGCACCTGCTGCGGGACGTAGTCCTTCGGCGGCCGTCGCAACCAGGGAGGGGGCAGGTCAGGCTGTGCCTTTAAGGGCTGGCGACCGGGAATGATTCGATGCTCCTTTGAGAGCCCGGGAGCGAGCAAAGGTCTATGGGTTCTACCGGTCTGCATCGGATTTGCGTAGTCAGGAACCTGATTAGAGACATAGAGGTTGAGGCGGTGATGTTTAGTAACATGCTACACGGTAATGTTGAACACTATCAGCACAGGTGGTCTCCGCGTACAGAAGATGAGAGGTTACGTACGACTGCGAACTGCCAGAGACCCTCCGCAGCATCCAAGTAGCGAGCCGCGCCGAAGTTCTTCGCGTTCTCAGCACTGTCGAGTGTATTCTATAAACGAGAACCCGCGCTGAGTACAGACGAAGACACTCACCGCGCCCTCATAGCCTCCCAGGCCGTCTTCTCTCCCACGTCCATGTCTCCTTGCATCATCCTAAGAACGAAGCTAGCCTCCTCGCACAAATAGTCTGCGCGTTGGAGCTTCCACTTTGAGGACGTGACCTGAGTGAGAGAGAACCTTTTCCGTTCGACGGTATTGATGATGTCATCAATTGTCTTGAAGAAGACGGACCCCTCATACGGGTGGGCCGTGTTATTCTTGAATGTCATGCTATTCTGAAGTCGATAGCGGAGGCGGTGACGAAGCGAGGGTGCTGGGTACCTGTCTCTGGAAGGCAAGTTTACTATGAGTCCCTGGTCAGCGTCCTATTATTTATCCTGTGTTTCAACATCCGAACCCACCGCATCGGAGCAGAGCTCGGATACAATCCTGTACAAGTTCGCCAAAAACGGCAAGGGATCCCGCGCACTATTTGCTGTAAGGAATCGATTAACTGCGGCTGTGTAAACAATGCCAACGTCAGTGCGGCCTTGACTCTTACCAGACTTCAGACCACAATCCTGTCCTGCCGTACCACAAGAAGTGGCTCGGATCGATGATACGGATCGTGGATGTCATGTACGCAGGGCACTTACCGTAGACAATGGGACTGACTCTGTCGCGGGTGAGGCTGTGACAAATTGAAGCGTACTCCAAGGCAGGACGGCCTTCAATGGAACGGTCTAAGTACCATTCAGAGGCCACTGCCCCAGTTGGCAGAATGACGCACGACAAACTCGTCGCCTATAGCTAGAAGTGTCCATTCCTCAGGCTGTGTGATCCTGTGAGCCACACTACATCCTATCTAGAAGTAGCGGCACTAACTGTAAGTTTGAGAGCTTGAAGCTAGCGTCTGGCCGAGCATTCGCGGTGAGACTGGCATGCACGCGCATCATACTACTGAACTTACTAAGTTCACCCAAGGGATCCTCGCACGTTCACCGGATCGCTGCCGCATAGCCATTGTGAGTCGACCAGTGTTCCGGATACTTGACAATGACAGAACATCTGAGCACGGGTAGTCAGCGACTACGAACTCGGCTGTGGCGCGGCAGCCCGGCACCTCGGCCGGAGGAGGTTCAAAACATCGCGCGAGTAGCGCTCGCTTTGGACCAAAGGTCTGAGTACATAAGTACTGTCGGAATCGAGGACGGGATCGCCATGGACAGTGGCCGTTTGCGATACGGTCTCGGAGGAGGAGGTGTGCCTATGTGATCCTGCGGGCGCACTTAGAGCGCACAGATTGCAGACGTTTTCTCATTGCGTATTCAAGTTGTTCAGTAGGTAGATAGTCATTAATAACTGTAGTGGCGTCGTCCAGTCATCATCATGAATAACGTCAAATACAGAACTCGCAACAATACGACCCTTCCAACGCCGCAGGATAGCCAACTATTTCGAAGCTTGTTTGTAATCAACCCTATAGAGAGTGGTAACGCCAAGGTTTACACCGAAGTATCCAGTCGCCCAATCCTTGATGTATCGCTCGACGGCGAGGCGTGGCCCACGCATTGAAGCCTAGTCAGACGGAAGGACGCTTTCGTTGCAAGACACGCCACATCTAGGCTCGATGTATCGTGAACCGTTGACCGCGAATGGATCATGTCAGCGCCGGAGCTCCTCCACTACTGCCCACACGATTCACGATCAATCTGTTTCCTAATCATGAGTGACAACAATCTAGGCGTTGGAGACCAAGAAGATGGCTTACAGTACTGTGCAATCGGAATGGGATACCATATTGGCGATGCCGAGGGCACCCAGGTAGGCACCCACGGAGGTGGGTAGGCCAGCGGCATATGGCGGGGCCGTCGGGGAGAGTAATACCAGAGAGGCGGTGGGACTGGCATTGCCATCAGAGGTGGCACCCGCGGGGCCATGGTCCTGGCAGGATACGTCGCAGCCTGAGGAACCTTTGTGGCAGACATATTCCCTTTGCCGAGGGGTGACCGAGCGTCAGTCTTGGCTTTGGATCTCGGAGGGTTCAGGTAGAGACTGTGATGCTCAAAGGCGCTCCTTGACATGCGCTTCAAAATGACAGGTCAGACGACAGATATGGCGAGGTATGAAGGGAGGATGCGCACGACCGTGAATCGCCAGAGCTCGTCTGAGGCGTTTGCGTAGTCCACCGCGTTGTCATCCTTCAAGAGGTCGACACTGTTCAATGTCAGGACTCAAGTCAGCATCACCAACGCCCAACACCTTGCGTACACTGTGCTTCTCACCGATTCTGGAGCGCTCTCCACCTCGCCTTCTCTTCCGAACTCATGTCTCGTTTGAGTTTGTCGAATACACTGGCAGCCTGCTTATACAGGAATGCCGCACGTCCGCGCTTCTGCTCCGGCGTCGCGAAATGAGCGAGTGTACAGTGGTTGCGTTCGACGTTGGTGATGATACCAACGATCTCGTTGAACTGAGCAGCAACCCGAGAGCTTGGGGGCGTCATCTTCGCGTACATCGTCTAGCAGCGAAGGAAGCGTTATCTGAGGATGAGGAGGGTGATGAGGGTTGTCAAGCCGACTGAGCAGAGGAGGCCAGTTCTACACAAACCATGTTGCCCAGGTCCGCCCTTTATACCTCAACAGCGCAGCGAGTATTACCAGAATGGCAAGGGCCCTGGACAACTCATCGTACTGCGTCGCCGAGAATGGCAGGTAGGACCACGCGCTCGTCCGGATTGACCGACGAAGCGCGGCTGTGCCTGCGACATCGACGCCAGTGTGTCCCGGTCATCCTTTCGAAGATTCTTCAGACCACATAGCCGTGTAGAGCTGCCGCGCAGCCACTGGCCCAGACTGGCACCGATACCGCGTGAACACGACCTATCATGTGGGTGGTACAGGTAAGTAGGTTTCTCTTCGCGGCTGTGATGATTCGAGGCGTTTTGGATGGTAGCGCGACGTACCTTATGGAGCCCACAGCCCCATTTAACCAATGTTATCAACGAGCTCATTGTCAAAGAAGCATTATTCCTGTGTGTCCCCAGAGAGCTAGGCCTCGTGTGTGCTATACAACCGAGCCCAGTGTACATGGAATCGAATGTTCGCGCCGTAACTTGCCATAAAACAATGAATAGAGCAGTCGACGACGACGTGTGGATTCCGACAGCGTCATGGCGTGGTCCAGACATAGTTAGGCGCCTGCCCGGCCCCCTACAAAGTTCATGATCAGTAGCTTGTCGGTGCCCGCGTTTGGTACAAGTTTGGTATACGCACAAGTACCGCTAGCGCCTGTCGAACAGCCCCGCTAGCAGTCCGAGAAGTATTTGACATTCTCGACGGGGGATGCACGGATGAAATATGAGCGCATTCGATGTCCAGTCTGTGGATGAACCTTAATTAGAGGACGGTTGAAAATGAGGTGCTTGCGCATCGAAGAACCATTCGAGGTCGCAGGCACATTCAAAGATGCCTTGCTGGTCTTCCTGGGGCTCAGGCGGACGAAACGGAACGAATCCATGGGCATTCGCATACGACACATCCATTGGAGCGGAGGCAGACTGCCTCGTGAGTCAAGCCTGCGGCGTCAGCCCGTGCGCATCTCGGAACTGCACCCACTCGTCCCAATTTCTCTCCGCCGCGCTATACACCGGCTCCCAATCGACACACATCCTCGTCGCGCCCTCCCTCTCCCTCTCGAAATCCCGTTCCTCAAAGTTCCCCGGCTCAAGCGACACATCCGCCTCGCATAGCGTCCACTGCCTCAAATAGTTGAAGCAGTGGTGTATGTGCGCCTGCCCGACCGCGCCGAGGCTGTCGAGCCCGTCGACCATGGCTGAGCGCATGTTGCGCAGGCAGTGCAACTCGTGGAACATCGGGACGGCGAACATGCGCTTCTCGGGCCCGAGCCGGACATGGTTGTCGCCCGCGAGCGGGGCTGTCCAGAGCCACTCGTCGCCAGCTTCGGCCGTGGACAGCGAGTAGCGAACGCTCTCCTCGAAGGTGGTCTGCACAGGCCTTGCGTCGACCGGGAACGTCCTTGGGAAGTCGTCTCCCACCCATGCTAGAGGCGGTGTGTTAGAGTTGGAGGTGACGATCAGGAAGCGGTGGAGCTCACATACCGTATGCGTCTTCGTCGATGACTGACTGACTGAAGCGTTTCTGCGCGCGCAGCCGCCCCGCTCGTGCAGCCTTGACCCTCTTTGCGGTGTCCAGTAAAGTCACATTGAAGTAGAACGACGCCGCGAGGAACACCGCGAGCAGCGCTACATGAGAGACGCTCCCGACTCGGACGTTGCGGAACATGGTCTCATCGGCACAGGTGGGATGCCTCTTTGAAGTGATATGATCGGGTTACAGGGAAGAGGTCGTCGTATCTGGGTGGTCCGGGAGCCTATATGCACAAGCGGATCTCAGCGAGCGATGTACATACGGAGAGCTCAGAAGACGCCCACGCCGCGGGACCGCATGTCTCGGGCGTTCTGATGGCAGTGCGATATGACACAGCTTTCCTCTACGGATTTCTTTGCCTGGACATGGAACCCGGCCCAGCCGGACGCGCATGAATATAAAGAAAACCTAAACATGCAATACGCGCAGCTGGTCGATACGGCTTGCTTCGCTGTCCTTTGACAAGATGTCCGGCGTGAAGATAGAACGAGTTTCGAACCCTTCAGGTTCGTCGACATCGCGCAATATACTACTCGATCTCGACTAGATGATGTCCCGCAGACAAGCTCATCGAAGACTCGGTCGAGTTATTCACCTCGCTGATGCAGAATGGTTCGTGCATCGTACACACACGCATCCGCGGAGACGTACATAAAGACGTACTGCAGATGTCGCTGGTATCAGCCTCGTCGGCGGCGAGACAACTCTCCTTGGGTCTATGGCTCGATCGATGATCAAAGCGGCAGTCTTGGTTGCTGGGGAGTATTACCCTGCCCTCGACGAGAACGGTGAACTGGCCGGGTACGCATTGTGGATGCCCCCGGGTCGGGTCCTCTTCGACACGTAGGCAGTTCATCTTGCTCGCAGTGAAGGGGATAACGTCATCTTGATCGTACAGCCCAGAGCAGCGTGAGTTGGGTCTGAACGAGTTCATGGCGAGTCTCCCCGAGGCGGGGAAGCAGTATTACAAGGATGTCGTACGTGCGCCGTCCTGAGGTAGAAGACGTTCTCACAAACAAAGTCGGCTTGTAGTATTTCAAGGAGTTCCCAGGATTTGTGAATAAGTGCATGGGCAGCCCAAAGGTCAGACGTAGCCGCTAGAGCAATGTCGGTGGTATGGCTGACAACCGAAATCCAGAGCAAGACGGATGCTTGGTGGCTCCACAACCTGTTCGTCCGGCCGGACAGACAACGGCAAGGAATAGGGAGGCAGCTCATTGAAGTCGTCAAGCAGAAGGTAGGCACGTACAGCGCCCCCGAGCCATCCCATTTGACCTCCGGCGTACCAGGCGAAGGAGCAAGGCCAAACACTCGCGTGCAGCACAACGCAAGACTACAATGTGAGTGAAACGACGGCCAAGGATTGTGAGCTCACCCTGAGGACGACTTTCGCAGGCCCTAGTTTACAAGGCGTATGGATTTGAGCAGAAGGGCTTGAGGACTATGCCTTCGCCGTGGGGTGATTGGCCACTGTACGTTTTTGCGCTGGACACTGCGAAAGCGTAGAACCAGTACAGAAAAAGAGCGTTGTTGATTCGAAGTTCTTTGTTATGAGCTGATATGGTGCGAAGAGTCCAATGAGTGTTGTCTCAGAGGTTGTGTCACTGTCAGAGGAAAGAACTCGTCCGAGTCGCAGGCCCCGCCACGAAGAGGAAGGCGGAGAGCAGGTTAGACGAACAAGAAGCGCCCGTCGGTTTGTTCTCAACGACCTGGGCCCTTGAAGATTCTCGCAGCTACTCTTTCAAGTCTTTGTCTTTTTGGCTACGAAGGATCACTGACATCAAGATGTCGAGTTCTGCTTTGAACGACGGCGGGACTAGATTGTGGTTTGGCATCTGCATATCAAGTGTACACATGCGGCCTGGGCGACTACTAGCTTGTCTTCCGACTCTTCGGTGTCTGTCACCCTTTGTCACCGCCGTCTAACTGGCGCGTGAAGGACTCTTCTGAGGTAGTCGAGGCTCTTTGCTTCCCGTACTTCAACGGCTTCTGCGCCCTGTGTTCTCGATTTCGCAGTGGTACACTGGTTTCGGGGAGAGAGCAGGTCGTGAGTGCGACAACATGGCTGACCACGCCGAGGAATCGATAGCACTTCTGTATGAAGGCGAGAGGAGCTCACAGGAGGACCTGAAGCAAGGTACGTTCTTGGCCTGATATTGTGTAGGGTTGTGCTCAGACGAGCGGTCGGACATGCAGCGCAGCCTCGTCTCCCGACTCGATCCACCCCGACGCTCTCGCAATGGATTTCCGCAACACTTGCGCTCTTCATCCTCGCTGACCTCCTTGCCTACCTCTATGTCTTCCGCGCAGTCGTCAACGATATCCGAGATTCGGAGGCACAGCTTGAGTTCCGCAGCCCATACCGAGGACTGGACGACCTCTATGGCTCGGGCGAAGCAAACTCCTCAAGACACGATCCGATCGAGAACGTTCCGAGGGTGGCAGCAGTCGTGACTAACGAAGATCCGGAGAAGGTGTATCCATTGGACGAGCATCGTCGGCTCAGTGCGTATGGGACGGTTACGCCGCTAGACCGGCATCTGAGGGTCTCAGGCACGGTGCGTCTACGCTTCAGTTTTGTGCTCACAAACTGTTTCTAACGACAGTGTCACCTGTAGATGCACACTGTCCTGCAGTTCCGAGTAATGGACTACGGCATGGAGCGGTGCGCGCTCGCACTCCGCTTGCCTTTCATCGAAAGCAACACATCCAAGCCAGTGGACCTCGACATTTGCGCCCTCGACGTCTCTCGCCAGCTCAATCCGCGAACGCTCTCTTGGTCAACCCGCCCACCATGCAAGAACCTCGTCGGGACGCTCCGTGGGGGCGCCGGCGAGGAGGTGCGCCTGCCCGAGTTCTCGTGCAAGTGGGGCGAGCTGTATACGTACGAGGTCTCATGTGCTGCTGAGTCGCCGGCGTGCGATGTCGACGTATGGGCTGATAGGAACGGGACGTGGGGTGAGATTTAGTCTTGCTTAACGCTCGTTGCATCTAAGCTCGCTTGCGCAGGTGTGTTCATGTATCAATTCCAGACCGTTTAAGCGTATCCAATCACTCTGCTATTATGGGTCATCGTTGAGTTATGCATGTGTGGCCTATATACAGTGCGAGCACGGTACGTGATACATGTATGATGAGTCAGAATCAGTAACTGACATTGTAGATGCAGTACGTCCGGCCGGCCTCGACGTCCCTAATGCATACTGACAGGACTCCACGCGGTCCTCCTGTTTGGAGATTTCTCGTCCTTTCTGAAGAGCCCGATAAGCTTCAATTGAGGTCACACCTCGCCCTGCGACGTCCACAATAGAGTGGCGCTCTTGAGTACTAGCGTCCGACGTCCAACTGTTTGGTACTACCTCCTTTTAGGCCCTCGCCCTGCCACCAGTGCTTGGCTAGGATCCGGGGCGACGGACGTGATGAAAAGATGCTTCTACGCGCAACATACAACCTATTAGGGGTGCGTACTTGAGTCTTGTTTCACGGTGCGCAGGCAATGATTATGGTCTTTCCCTGTTCGTCGCGACGTCCGAATTGGCTCTCCCGGGATACTCAGAGTTTGTGATCATTACACACCGCGCCACGAAGCTCTACACCTATATATGGCGCCATTCACTTCCAGTCGGCCATCACGCAACAGGTCTCCTCATGATCGCGATACACTCGGACGACACCAACGGATACGACACCAACGGATCATGACAGTCTTCTGAAATAGACTCAGATAGTCACACAGGTCGCCGAGAGCAGTGCCGTGTGGTCGAGCGCTGTGAGCAGCACTGCTACAAATTGGAAAGAGTAGACGCATGCTTGGCATCTACGATGGGATTCTGCTGCGTATGGGCACGTCCTTCGGGTTTCTCACCAGTGTTACTCGTCCCTCGCAGTTGTCCGACAGGGTCCTAGGGCGTAGCGCCGCCGCCCGCGACTAGCTGCACTTCAAATTGCTGCCAATCGGGGTATGTGTTCAGTGTGACGCACTGATGCACATCGCTGCGAATCACTAAGTTAGGTTCAGGGCATGGCACCCCTCTGTGTGAAGACGACGGAAGTAATTGAGTGCGAAGAATAACGGTCAAGGAGAGGAGGGGGCTTGTAAGGTGATGATACAGCGAATGTGAAATACAAGCTTGGCAATCCTGATACACGGAACAGTCCTTGCCCATCCTGCTAGTGCAGGGGGGCATTGAATCTGAAGGGACGGTTGGGTATGAAAGGCAACTAAATGGAGGAGACGAAGACAATCAGGTGGTGTACATGTATAGGTTCAACGGGCCGACTTCGCTGACCACCGTTAGCAAGGTTCATACGCAAGATCATCAACCGGAATGGCTTACTCAGATATGTCATGCATGAGCCACGCCGCCGAGAGAGATATCACGTCAGTTGAGTGCCGCTGTTGCGGCACTTGCAGGCGCGAGGAACCCAGCGTCGGTGGGTCGTGCCCGGCGTCTGACCGCTACAAACCAACGACAATGAGGCCACCGTAACCAAGGAGAATGCTGGGTGAAACACTGACGTTCTGTCGTTCCAAGGAACTCTGCGTCTGTCGGGCGGACTACGCGGCGATTAGCTTGTGGCCTGAGGAATTCAGCATCGGTGGGCCTTGCGGCCGCTGGGGCTGCGAGAGCCGGGATTGCTGCGAAGAGGACCACAAAGAAGGTAGTGACGAATTTGATCATGACGTGGACCATCGTAGTACTCGCAGGATGGTCTGAGAGACGATGCACCTCTGAGAAGGTTGTCAGGGCGGAAACGGAGACCAGAAGGCGACAGGGGCAGCCAAGGGGCAGCAGGTATTTAAGTCCATGGCGCAGTCGCGATGAGCACGGAACACAGGTTGAAGAAGCCCAGGAAGCACCTCTGACTCGGAGGATTCGGGCAATCAATGTGCACCTTCAGGTAGCGAGGCGGTGAGAGAGAGAAGTTCTTTGTATTTATACTGCGCGACAGGCGAACATAGCGCGCCAAAGCACAGTGTAACTATCTACAGTAAGTAAATAGAAGATCTGTGGTGTGTATCGTATTGGAGGTGTCCGTTTCGGTCCGTATCTCTAGGAGACTGTGTGAGTAGAGTATTGTCGCGGTCGTGGGGTGTCGACATCTATGTCTATCGTATTAAGGCTTTCCGTCCGTTTCTGAGCATAGTAAAGTAAGCATAACCATAATACCTAACATCCCTCGTGTACACGCCGATTGCCCAAAGCAGCGTTGCGACGTGGCTGCTTTCGAGTGCGAGTCGACCTGGGTTCGTAAATGGTCTCGTGTGGGTCTGCAACGTGAGCGTCTCCGGTCTTGGAGAATGCTCCGGTCTTCGCGACGAATTTGGCCAGCGCGCGGATGCCGTCCTGGGTGCCTAGTATGTCGTTGACGGTGGGTGATGCGGATATGCGTAGGAGTGTGGCGTTTCGTGCGTCTTTGTAGCGCGGGCATTCGAGTAGGACATGTCTGCGGGTTTGTAAGTGGGCTCCGCATGGGCATGCGACGTCTTCGGTCGGGACGAAGCGCGTGTAGTACTCGCCGATGAACGCGTGGCCTGTGCGGCATTGTGTGACAAGGCCGTATACGCGTCTGTTCGTGATGTTCGCGAAGTGAGGCTGGGGCGTGAGCTTGGGCGGAAAGTAATCAGCGGCCGCGAAGCCGGTCCCCCGACGATCGCAGGTCGACTGCACCTTCCGCCAGCTCTCTGTCCATGCCTCGAGTGCTTTTTCTTTCGCGTGTCGGCGCATATGGATGAAGGTAGGATTTCTGTGCGATGCATCGCTGCCCAGCGTACGCGAGCCTGAGCCGGAGGTCGCCGCGCCTTTGGCTATCTTGTCCGCTGACTCGTTGCCCTTGATGCCGCGATGTCCTGGCGTCCACCGTAGGATGATGTGGTTACGCGTGTCGGCTTCCAGGTATTCGTTCGCCGCGTCGCAGAATTTGCGTGACCATTGCTGACCTGAATGAACCCCTAGGTCGATTATCGACTCGATTGCAGCCGCGTTGTCCGCGCATAGGACGATGCGGTGTGCCGTTGGGAATGTTCGCATGGCGATGGGTATTGCTGCTGCTAGTCCTTCGAAAAGTCCCCTCATCTCCGCGTCGTACACCTCTGCTTCCTCTCCCAAGTGGATCCCTCTCCTCATCACCTCCCTATCACCCCTCAGCACCACCACTCCGGTTCCCGTCTTCCTCCTTCCACCCTCTTCCACCTGAGATCCGTCGGAGTACACGACTACGGTTTTGTGGTCGTGTTGCATGGATTTGTACCACCGTTGGTGCGTCTTCGTTTCCTCCTCCTTCGTCTTCCCTTCCTCCTTCCTCCTGACCTCGACCCTCTCCCTGTATTCCTCCCTTATTCCGTTCTCCTCCCATGGTGGCTGCAGGAATGGGTAAACCCGCTCCCCGTCGGCTCTTGAAAGCGATGCGACGCGCTCGAGTCGCGTCTGGGGTGGGTTTCTGCGTCGACTCGGTCGATGACTGGGTAGCGGCGGCTCGGTGTATGGGGCCTCTCCGCTGCGCCACTCCATCGATAGGCGTTGTAGTATGGGGTGTCGTATGTCGAGCTTGTGGAACCTCGTGGCCGTGTTTGCGCTCACCATATCGAGACGTTGGCGCGCTGGCATGAGGCCGGCCTCGATTTGGAGAGCGCGTGTTGACGTCGTCTTGAAGACACCGGTAGCGAGGCGGTGTAGAGCCGAAGTGCAGCGCGCCCTACTAAGTACTAGCGCACCAGACACCGGCGCGTTGTCACTGTGCAGAAGCTCCGAGGTCACGGAAATCACCGAATGCCACAAGGGAAGCCGCCGTATGACCGATTGAAGATGCGAGGCTGGAGCGTCGTGTGCGCCTTGATTCCGGAGGTAGCATGGGTGAGCCTCAGCCTGGGTGTCTAGATCTATCCTTCAACGGGCCCAGTACCGCCTACAGGCTAATCTCTGACTAAAATCGTGGAAATCAAGGGAAAATTCATCCTGGAAAAGCTTGGAAGATACTACTTAAAAGATACGGCAGGCTAGAAGACCGAATTGGTACCCGCGCGACTGGCGTGCGTACTGTCCTGATGGAAACATTCCACTGTGCCGAAGTCCACCACACGGTACGTGCTTGTGCTATACATCCTCGTCGGAGACTGGCAACACTCGCTCAGACCTGACGCGATTACAATGGGGGTCGTTTAGGCGGGAGCGATGGACCGCGGTCCCTAGCCCGACACCGGTCCGATAAGGTCGGAAGCCATGGCTCACTAACGCTACAGAGCCTACTGGCCTCACTGCTACTACTTAACGCTGTTCCACCGGTAGTCTACAGTTGGTCTATTACCACTATAGTGACCATTTGTTGCGGAGTGCTCGTCGAGCGTTCCTGCGAACAACTTTTCAATGGCCCTATCATTGCCTGCAGCTGCGCGGCGAATGTGTACTACTCGGTCATGGTCAGATAAGTAGTTTTGACGCTTCAATCCGGATTCTGCTACGTACTAATTCCGTTCAGAACTGTGGTAGGAGAAGTCAGCCCGGTTGCTATGAACGATTCTGCAATGCTCGAACCCAGTCTCGATCGGTCCCCATCAATGTGCGTCTTCTGTCTCTTAGCTCCCGCCCGTCATCCAGTGGTATTATCTGATGTAGCGAGCTCATAGAACATCGGAATGCTCCATGTAGTCTCCGAAGGCAGTAAATCGGTGTTGATGATGCGGCAAATCGGTTGTGACGACTCGACTAGCCAGCCGTACGAATACGTCTGTTTCTTTGAATAGATGAAGACCTTTTGACGTTCATACCCCACTGTTCATTCAGCTGATCGATTATACAGGCCTTCGAGACATTTGCACAGTATAAATAGTCAAAGAGCTCCCGACTGACAAAACATGCAAACCCGGGGACACAAATTTCTTGGTGCTGTTGCCTGCGTCTCGTCGAGAGGATAGCAATGCGCCCTTCGGCATAATTATGCCGTGAGCCAGTCTTCCAGTTGGTGACTCAGGTTGGTCACGACTCCCAGGCTATTTTGCTCGCTGATTTAGCAAGTCTGCAGACACTGTCCGTACGTCTTGACAGTTGCCGGCGGAAAGCCCTGTGCTTGACGCTGATGATGTCAATCGGATGCTGAGCAAGGGAAAAGCTGACTATTCTAGCATTTTTGCGTGGGGATAGGGCGCTGTTACAACGACCTAGGAATACTCATATACGTGCGTCTTTTGGCGTCTAGTAATCCTGACACTCTTATGTGCCTGACGCCGCTGGCCGCTCTTGAACTGCTCATACCCTCCGAATTACCCTTCTGCGCGCGCGGTGTTCTTCTCACCGCCACTATCCTCGCTTTCGCCGTCGGACCGATCCGGGATGTACCTTCCACCCCAAGCGGCTAAATTAGACTCAGGACACTCGCAGACGCTTCTCTACGCGGATCTGACGCAGGCGTACAGCTCCCGTCTCTCGGTTGCCTTTGTCCTGCGACACCGCACGACATCGAGCACTCAGGTTCTGGGGCCCAATGGGGCTACCGGACATGCATTGGACCATCGCGCAGATTCCTTAACGGCAGGCATTCTTCTGCGCCCTGAGGATTAACGGTTGACTTAATCCAATCATCCCTAGAGCGTCTGCCTGGTCTGCCCAAGGCGCACCTTGTTGTCTTCTGTGACAGCGATGTGTCCAGTTCCACACATCTGATTGCTTGTCAGAAACCTGGTGGGCTACTGCACAGAAGCGACCATCCAGCGCAGCGCCTATTGGGACAACAAATTTGCATGTACAAGAAGATCGGCGGAATGGACGGATCGTATCTGCATAGGTTGCGTACTGCCCTCAGAGAGTGATGGACGGCTCAAATAGTGCCCAATCTGGGTATGCCTCAGCCATGGACAGGGTATAAATGGCCATGGACGAAATAATCGGTCCCTAGGAAGTGCCCTCTGGCATCGCCAGCAACTCGACCAATAACACCATGGCTTACGCTTTACGCTTCAGAACCATCGACAGCATCGTCGCCTCCGTTGAAGCGCACTCGATGCCTCACAACGTGCACGCCGATTACCTCTGCAGAGAAGCGAAGATTGTCGGTGACATCCTCAAGGATGATATGATTGCAGATGAGCAACAGAGCTATGCGGCGTGGAATGAACAGTGAGGCATACTCTAGCTCAACTTATCCCACATTTGGCTGAGCCGAAGTATGTCGACAGTGTTGAAAACAGCAAGCTGGGTGGCTCCGCACGCTACCTCGATGCAGCTGAACGATTTTGGCGCTTTGTCGCAGTACGTGGTCCCTCTGCATGATATCTCCTACGTGCGTAAGTCTGAACTATCGATCCACAGCGGACTTACCGCGACGTTGCCGCGCGTCGTGAAGCCGAAGCTGTCAGACCCCCGCCAGCAGCTGCCCCGCAGCCTCCTCCCCCTGCATCGTCTACAAATATTGTGCCATCGCCCGAATTGCAGCCACGGCAGCCGCATGGTACACAGCCAGCCATACCCTCCATCGGCCAGATGCACGGACCCTCAGCATGGTATTACCGTTCAAGATATGCCATGGTGACCTACGTACCAGGTCTAGTGGCTGGGTGGGCAGCGATACAACCCCCCTACTTCCCCATGTATTATCAGCACTGTAAGACACACGGTACATACCGAAATACGGGACTGACGCGTCTGTACTAGGGCCGCATTAACGTGCCTGCAAGTACGGAGAGTATCCTGAAAATCCTAACAATGTCAGATGTATGACATCGTCACAGACTTTAGAATGACAAACAACTTGTACAGATCTGATAGTGAGGTTATGAGGTCTACCGAGTGTATGAGTCCTACTCGTAGAATGTACTAGACCTGTGGGGTACAGTGATATCATCTGGATTACAGGAACAGATCCGGAAGGCGATGGCATACTGATGGCAATTGAACCATGATGAGGAGAGCACCTCTGCCTTACTAAGTTGACTGCTAAGTTGGATGATGAGCTCGCGATTGGGTTAACGTTGGACTGTAGTAAGGAACTACGACCACGGTACGCGACAAGCCACTCTTGCGTCGCTGACAAATCGGCGCGTTTATGTAAGAGTACGGTAGTGGGCGTGTCGCGTTGTTTCGACGACAGTCAACTGCACGCTCCGATGTACGTCCACCAGAGCTCTCAGCTATTTGTCGCTAGTACTTAAAACTATCCCTACGACAGCGCGAATCCAGTTCGAGCCTTCACCGAAGGCGTGACTCGAATGTGATCGCACCGGCGCACGGTATATTAGGACGGTGTCCTTCCTCTTGCAGAGCGGTTGGGCGGAAGACACAGTGGTTACTGTAACGTTGGTCAGCGCAATGCTGTGAACCTCCACACAAGTAGCTTCCGTTTACGCACTCGCTATGACACGTGTAACAGCGAGCTCGCCATCACCCGGCGCACTGTCCTCATACGCCCCTCCTTCCCTTTTCATGCAGGCCTGCACCCTAGGTGAGTACTGCACTGCCTTCCCCTGACGTGCGTACGCGTATCCCTGCCCTTCGCGACCAGTTCTCTGTCCCTCCTTCCTGACTAGGCGACATGTCGGGCTCTCCTTGGTAGAGGCGCAGTATCCGTGTGGGATAAAAGGTAGAGAGCTAGGTGGGTTCTCTCCCATACGACTTCATTATTTCACCTTCAGTATGCTCACCGCGATTCAGCTGCAGACTATTCACTCCATCATCGACGCTGTCGAGGGTGAAGGCTCACCGTCTGGGCTGTTTTACTCCAGCTACCGCAAGAATCGCCGCGCCCAGTACTTGACGAGTCAAGCACACAACGTCCTCGTATCCCTGCGTGACGAGATGAGTGCCGTTGACCGAGAGGTCTATGCGGTTCTATATGCGCGGTGCGTGCACCTTACGTTGCATGTTTTCCTTGCTAGCATGCTTATCACCGACTTCAGCCTCGAGAATACAGCCAACTTCCACGATGCCTCGCGCTACTTGCAAGTTGCAGAAGAGTTATGGGAGTTTGCGTTGGTACGTTTCAGACTCAGGCCTTGCATCTGTGGGTCCCTATTCATGCTTTTGATCTGCGTGTAGGGCGCCTTCCAAGACGTATCTTACCGGTCCATCACCGGTCCTTCACGCCAGTCCGTTCCCGCTTCTACCACGCCTCGCCCGATACCCGTACAGCCTTCTCCGAAGATGGCTCCTTCAGCGGGAACACCTCCGCCTCCCTATTGCTGGTCACCAGCTCCGCGGGCATATCTGATGTTTGGATGGGTGCCAGGATGGATACCGGTACCACAGTGGTACTTAAGTTGAACACCGGTGACCACAGTAAGCTTGCCTTCTCACCTTCATGTACAGACTTTCGACTAGTCTTGAGTTTGAACAAGTCCTTCATACCTCTGACATTGCTTACATGGTCACTTCTTTCGTATAAAGCGTTACTGTAAAACATGTATGTGGATTGTTACTCGGGCGTACGGTGCGTCATCGTGCACAAACTATAACTTGGTTCATCGTCAACCTGTTTCCCAAAGTTCCCGGGTCACTGCTTGGCACCAAGGCGCTTCTTGAAAGCCTCGGTCACGTACTCCTAGTGATGCAACCACGACATCAGCGCACGACTCAGCGGCGGCCCCTGCGAGCAAACACACCTTGTCAAACGTCGCCTGGAAGCTCGGCCTCGCCTGGAGCTCAGCCCAGTACGTCTGGAAGCGCGCGAACCGCGGCTGCTGCAATGCCTCGAGGATCTTCGTGGCCTCACCCTGCTCGTACGCACCGATATCGTTCTCGAGCGCGACATACGCGCGCGCGAGGAACGGCGCGACGGAGATGTCCGCGATGCTGAACTCGCCGAGCGCGTAGCCCTGCGCGGGGAGGAGGCTCTGGATGGCCTCGATGCCGCCCAGGAAGGCCTGTACGGCCTCCGGAGTGCCTGTGCGGAGGAGGTTGCTCCACGTGGGTACGTGCTCGGAGGAGACGACTTCGATGAAGAAGCGCGCCTGCGCCCGCTTGACGGGGTCCGCGGGCAGGAGCGGCGAGCCCGGGAAGAGGTCGGCGACGAACTCGACGAGGACGAGCGACTCGGCGAGCTTGACGGACTCGGGCGAGGGCTGGTCGGGCTGCACGGTGGGCCCGCCGTAGGCGATGGCGGGGACCTTGCTCGCGGGATTCACCTTGGGGGCGTACCACTCTGGCTTGTTCTGCAGATCGATCAGGTACTTGGTGTACTCTGCCTTGGACTCCTCGAGGGCCAGCTCTACCTGGATTGCATGTCAGTCAAGGTGACCGATGCACACTCAATCGGGCTATGTAGTTACCCTGTGGGCATACGGGCAGATCTGCATGACAAGAACCGGTTGATCAGCGTCGACTCGTCCCGACGATTGTCATGACCACGTACCTTTGCAGTGTAGAGGGTGATACTCTCAGGCATAGTGCGATGTAGAATGCGGGCTCACAGGTAAGGCGAGGGCGGGGATTGCTTGCTATCTTGCGGTGAGTACCGTCGATGACAATATATATCATATCCTGAAGAGGGGCGAGCGCTGTATGTGTAAGCACCCTCCAAAGAACCGTCTCCTTGATTTGCGCCATGAGAATGCATTCCCGGTGGGATCGGCGAATGGAGGAGGAGGAGGAGGAGGAGAGGATCCCATTTAGCCGCATATGGGCTGCCGAGACATACAAAACGACGTACCCATTCCCTTAGCTTAGAACATCTGAACACGCGCACTGCATCTCGAACACCATCCGCTGTGCTTGTGCTGAGCCCAGGCCCTCGTTGATTCCGTGAAGGCGGACTACCATAGATCAATTCCGGGATTGGTAATGCAGGTACTCTCGCGTTGAGTTCGTGAAGGCGGACTGCCACAGCTCAATCCCGGGATTGGTAATTCAGGTACTCTCGCGTTGAGTTCGTGAAGGCGGGCTGCCACAGCTCAATCCCGGGATTGGTAATGTGGCAGGCACTCTCGCGTTCAGTCCGTGAAGGCGGACTACCACAGCTCAATTCCGGGATTGGTAATGCACGTACTCTCGCGTTGAAGACCTTGGCGCTTTACTGACATAGATCTTATGGCACGCTATCCAATTGACGAAGGCGAGCAAAAGTAATTTAAGTTCAAAGATCGGAATCGCTGGTGGTAATAGACAAGTTTGAATGCCTTAGCACAAGTGGCACGTACTGATGTAGCACTAGTAGCGTCCCGGCATATACAGAGAAACGCGGCATCGGCATGTGAAGCAGGTGTGCGTCGGATTCACATCGCAGTGTCTAGCCTGACGAATCTGCCTTCAGGACGGTTGCGCGCAGCGCGTATCTTGGCAGGTCACGGGAGCGCGTTTCTGGGCGCTAAACCAAAATGAACGAACGTTCGCAGCAGCTTCACACAATCGCAATTCTCGACAATTTGACTACTACCAGTAGCGCTGCTTTCCACCTCAAGAGTCGACCCTCACACTCTTGTGTTGTGACTGCTTGAAGACAGATGTTTCGCGAGTGCTACGTGTTGAACAGAGACGTAAGTATACTAATGGCACATCAGTGGGCACGCAGAAAGCCGCATCTACTTACACGCCGAGACATCAGCGACTCAATGTGCTCAAGCGGTATACAAGTTCCTTGCACGTTTAGCTGCGCTTTCGGAAGCTTAACGGTGATACACGTATTCGATCGAAGCGCTCCGCTGTATGAGCTGTCACGGCGATTGTGGAAGGGGTACAGCGTTTGGAAACCTGTAAGAGAACGTCCTCCGCCCGATACAACCCTCAAGAGAAAAATACGATGCGAGTTCTAACAGTCGGGTACGTGATTCCCCCATCGTCCTGTAAAATACGCTATCCTGATGTCGTCGCAGTGCCTCTGGTTTCATCGGCTTTGGGGCTGCCCAGGCCCTAGTGCGCGCTGGACACATTGTCTATGGCGTGACGCGCTCAGAGAACAAGAAAAAGATGCTCGCAGCGGAAGAGAGTGAGCACATACAGTGAGCCTCTCGTCATCGTGAGCTTCGTGCTGAACTGGCGGCCTGAATACAGTCATACCTATCGTCGCTGAGACTGCGAACCCGTCACCCTGGCTCCCTCTGGTAGCAACTCTAGACGTAGTGATCGAGGCGATTGGCGGCTGGGACGTTGAGACCCTCTCCCCGAAGCTCTTGGATGCCGTTGCTGAGGCTGTCAAGAAACACCGCCCTCCGCACGCTCCGAAGCTCGCCTACATCTATACCTCTGGGTCGTACGTCCACGGAGACAACCGAAAAGACATCATCACCGACACTACTCCCATTACTCAACCTATCGAGCTAAGCAAGTGGCGGGCAGCATTCGAGCAGAAGGTCGCTACACATTCTGTCCTCAACGGCATCGCGATCCGTCCGGCGATCATGTATGGCAAGTCGGCGTCATTCTTCGCGGTCATGTTCCAGGCTGCACGCCCTGGCGGGACTATCGAATGGTACGGAAGCCCCGGAGTGAGGTACTCGCTCGTGCATCAGGACGATGTCGGTGAAATGTACCGCCTGGCAGCTGAGAAGTCGGCCGTCATAGGGGGACTGTGCTTCGATGTGGCCAACGACTTCACGGAGAGCGTCGATGACATACTGCAGAGGCTCGTCGAGGTGTCTGGTGCACATGGCTATGAGTATGTGGAGGCACAGACGCGTACGTTGCATCTCAGTCTATACCAAGGCGGTGCTCATATATCTCTCACAGCGCTCGAGCGCGTCTTTGCGTCTTCATTGCGTCTGCGCCCGTACCTGGCACGTAGCCTACTTGGATGGCAACCCCGCAAAGCCGGGGTAGTGGACCACATGGGGCTCTACTACGACGTATGGAAAGCATCACTTTAACGGAAGTACTGCTGAGCTCATTTCATGTCTGTTAAGTGCTTGAATGCATGTTGAGCCTGTCCACTGTTGGTACATCTTATGATCCTAGATCGGTTACGTGCCTCGATGTCGCAGTACACTACGATGTACTCCTAGGTATATATTCACAGGTATGTATCCACATTCACATATGCTTCGGCAAGAGTTTGTCCTGCATGAAACTGGATGCATCCGTATCCTTGGCCCTCATCCCCGGAACACTTATCCATCGAGATCAGTATGCCTCCTAGGGCCGCTCCATCAGAAGTCGTACACAAATGACACAGCGCCGGCAGCACCGCACATTTGAGGCAGACCACTCTTGTCTAGCCGACCCACCACGTATACCCAATCACTACGTCTCTGCACCCGCCTGCGCAATGTTGCTCGGCTGTCCCGATCGGACATCCAGAAGGCGCGATGTTACAAGCGGAGTGACTGTTGTGACTGGTCAAGGATACACCGGTGAGGTGAGCTGGTCGCTCTTATGCATCGCTGCTTGAGCTCAGAGAACAACAGCACTATCCATGGCAATTCGAGAGACAAACATCCCTTCTGCAAGTCTCGAAGTGCAGGTTACCGGAACGCGAAGGACATGAATGGAAGCCGTTATATTCCTTCTCTTGGTTCACCCATCTACCAATGCGCCCTGACCACACGAGTAGTGTCTCCCTGCACGCCCGCAGGACCCCTGAAGCGGTGGTGGATGCACCGCCTGCGCGCTCTCCGACCATTTCTGGTGTAGTCGGCGGCCCTGCTAGTCATCCGGGTGGCGCATTCGGGCCCTAATACACGCCCTACCCACAAAAGGGCCCATCCTTCTTCCCAACTACAACTCCTACCCTACCCTCTCGAACACATCCAATGCTCACTTCCCATCAGATTCATACCATAACTACACTCGTGTATGACATCGAAGCTGGCTTTCAGGAGCACGAACTTGCGACCGCTGACCGCCAACGCGCGCACGCAGAGTGCGTGGCAGACGCAGCGCACACCGTGCTACACATGCTCCGGGATGATATGTACAATGCAGAACGTGCGGAATACGATGCGCTCTACGCGGCGCTCGAGGATGCAGCGGTGCCAGGTCCGGCGGGAGCTGGAGCGGGGAGGCACAGGGAGGCTGCGAGGGCCATGTGGCGTTTCGCTGTGGTGCGTCTTTGCATCTCATTAGGAGTTGCGAGTGCTCAATGTGCATTATTCAGCACGTATACAACCGGCTCACGTCGCATCGCACTGGGTTCTGGCAGCATCACGCCCCATATTTGAATGCGCCACATACACAACCTCAGTCGCGCCCGACGCATCCTCAAGCAGTGCGGCCGGGCCCTTCCGCGGTACCAGCATGGAGTCACGCGTACTGGCCATCGCGCTACGTGCCCGTGTTTAGCTGGGTGCCGGTGATGTCGTGGTATCCTGTCAGTACACTGTCCTGACCCCTCGTTGGGTCCCCAGATACTTGATGTTGACACGTGACCGTTCCCCGCAGGCATGATCGTGATGACACAACATGACCCTCGACATTGGTCTCAAGATGATCGTGAATCGTAGTACCTGTACAACAGCGTCCGTAATCTATAATCGTGAATCACATTCTAATAGCATCTCTAAACCTGTGTTACACCATCGCTGCCCCGTATCCAAAAACCCAAATCTTACACCACAGAACGAGGGACAAGGAACCCGGGCCCGTGCCGGGTTACCTCCGCTCAGAGCCCGAGTGGCTAAGCAAGAACGCGCGGATGTTCATAAATGTATACTGCAAACGCAAAGAGAAGTCAGTGGTCGCCATCGTAGCCGTGCTGGATGCCTCATGGACGCGACTTACCTCTAACGCACCGTCATCCCGCCAATGGACAGCGGACGGCCTCATACCAACACGCTCGAGCGATTCCCACCAACTTCGGAAGCCTAGATATGATTGCGGCATCTCGGTCTGGTCCTCACTTGGTCGGAATGTCAGGATAAGCTGTGCTGTCGGGAGCACAGTTGCGTCATCGTCGCCGCCGGCTGAGGAAAGCGAAGCAAGTGCATAGACGGTCTCATTGAACGGAAGATCCACCTGATGAAGGTATTGGTTCGGGATTCTGATACGCACAGGACCAGGCGGAAGACACGCACTCGAAGAACATCCGCGAACCTCGGAGACTTATCTCCGCCCAGCAATCGCTCGAGCGTGTAGGCATGCTCATGGTCAGCATATAGACGTTGAACACCTCCAGCCTGCTGTCCCAAGAGCTTCAATTCCTTAGCGGGTGTCGGCAGAGGCCCCAGACCGACCCAACCGCGGCCCAGAGTATAGCCTCCGCGACCTATCACTTGAAAGACGCGACCGTGACCAAATCCCGCAGGACCTGGTGTGTAGGCTGTTGTGGAGCAATCTGGGACGGCCGCGCCTACATCCGACGCGAAATTGTCGTCCATCGGTCCAACCGTGACGATAGCGCACCCGCGCGACCTGCGCATGTTGTCCGCAAGGCCAGCGAATCGTCTGAGATCGTAAACCGAGGCCTTTCCGGCTAGGCTGAGAGCGGACGGGAAGTTGAATGAGGCAGGGAAGAGCTGCACTGGAGCGTCTATCAGTCACTCGGTGCTCTACAACAGTTCTGGCAGAGGCGTACGGAGTGTCGTCGCGTTGGGCATGATGCTGTAAATCCGACAATGCTCAGCACCAGTAGCGTACACATCACCGGAATGAACCTACCTATCATCCAGTCGCAACTGTGCGATTAGCTTGTCGCGCATCGCAATCGATTCACCATACCGCTCCTCTGCCTTGTAGAGCAGATGCTCGAAGGGCGGCACGTTCCGAGTGCGCCGAACACTCAGTATCGCGGTATCATGATCCTGAAAGCAGAAGCAAAGCAGAGTCAAAGACGCGAACATCATGCCAGAGCTGACCAACCAACACAGCGGTCTGCGCGGGGGAGCCATCGTAGGTGCACGGTGACAGTACGACGGGAGCAAGGGAAACCGGACGGCGAGCGGATGAGTGCATCTTATATTGCAGTGCAGAGACCACCGGATGAAACTTTCGATCCTTCAAGTGAAAGATCGATAAAATTGACAAAATCTTTTTCACGATATTTCGTATGAAAGATTGTCAATAAAAGTCAGAAACAATCAATTAATCATTCAGACTCGAAGTATCAGGAACAGATCACAGAAGGATTCATTGACAAGTGTCTTTGATCTGTCTGTGATCCTCTAGGCAAATGATTGAGAATGTTACGTCAACGTTTGTTTTCCTTTATTTTGCGCTTGACCGTTGTACTACCTTAGCATGGGCCCAACCCCATGACGCTACGCTTCTAGTCTTCGGACTCCTTCGCTGTTCGCTCCGGTCCAACCCGGGGCAGTTCACGTGATCTCTGACTCAGTATGACTCGTCGTGACTCGTCTCTTACTCATACCTGACTCATCGTTTATGACTCGGTCCCTGACTCGTCATGACTCACTCCCCCGCGCTCCTATTGGCTAGGTAGTTGTGACTCGTCCAGGACCTGCCCTGAACTCCCCATGTATATAAGACCAGTGTACAGTAGCGGTCGAACCTCAGTTCGACCTGGTTATCTATTGAAGCTTCACCAGCTCCTTGGATATCAGAAACTCCCCGCTCGACCTGCTAGACGGACTTAGCAGCGTCTTCGACCATCCTCCCCATCCAAGGACGATTAGAACCTAAGGTCCCTACGTTTAGGGTTAGGTTGAGAGCTAGTGCTCTAGGTGTCACGCTTCGCGTAACATAAGGTCGAACTGATCTTTACGCTCCGCCTGCTCAGGCGCAGAGCCCACACATCTTCACACACGCTTCCGGAGTGCCCCTCCGTCTAGGGGACTCCCCATCCACCACGGACTACCGAGTTGAGATCGAACCCGTCACCTACGGGCTCCCAACCCTACCGAACCTCTGGTGGAACGACGACCTTCGCCTCTTCGAGTATCAGAAGGACAGCGGTGAGCACAGACCTGTGTTTGTGCAAGAACCAGAACAGGAAGGAGAGAAGCGCATTTGGGCCTTCTTCCCCGGATCTGTTCCCCTCGAAGAGCAACAGAAACAGACCCGCGCCTACCTAGACACCAAAGGAAAGGCTGCCGAACGGATCAGGAAGATCCAAAACGAACGACCGAAGCCGGCGACTCCAGCGGCTATCCGACGAGAACTCTCGAAGCACGAAGCTACTTCCCCTGCAGTAGGAACTAGCCCCCTGGTACACGTTGTACCCGAAGTAGGCACATCCAGCCTTACCCAGTACTCCTCGAACCTCGCTACAGGTGTCGAGAAGAAGCCTCTCGAACCGGAACTCGAGACGCAGTCGAACGAACCCGAACCCGAATACGAACCTGAATCAGACGACGCAATGTCTACCACCCGCACGAGCACGGCTACCAAGCTTGAGGTCCCCGCACCTGACAAGTTCAAGGGACAAGCTACCGATGCGAAACCGTTTATCCGACGTCTCGAGATGTACTACAGCGCAACAGGCAACGCCGATGCCAACGATCAACGGAAGATCGCTTACGCTCTCCTCCTCATCGACGACAACAGCGATGCTTTCTACTGGAAGAAGTTGCACATGGACGGAGAAGCCGATGCCCAAGAAGAGGGCAAGCATGCGTTTGAGTCTTGGAAAGACTTCAAGGAGGCCTTCTTGAAGGCGTTCCCCGTTTATGCCGAAGGAGACAGAGACTCGATAATGCTCACGACCCTAAAGCAAGGGAAGACTCCCACCCCTGCCTTCATCCCCAAATTCCGATCCATTGCATCCAGAACCGACCTCTCCGATAAGACCCTCTCCGGGTTCTTCAAGAGGGCAATCCGCCGTGATCTCCTTGACAAGGCAATGAATATGGAACCACCCACGACCCTGCAAGGGTGGTTTGACCTTGTCCTCCGACTCGACTCCCGCCAGATCTACAATACCAATTACTACGAGGGAGGGAACAGCGGAGGTAACAACCATCGCTCCTCCTACCCCTCTGGACGAGGCAGCGGACGATTGGACGAGCCTATGGAGATCGACGCTATGGATCAGAGGGAACGGCAACGTCACCAGGAACTGGGCCTTTGCTTCGGATGCCACAAACCCGGACATCTCCTCAGGAACTGTCCCGAGAAGAGACAGAACCCGAAGTTCACCCAGCGCAACCGAACTTCCCCACGCCGTGTGCCCGCCTCCTCTACCCACGTGCGAGAAGTTACTCCCGCCTATGTACGAGAAGTCTTCCAGGAACTCCCGCTCGAAGAACGCGCTCCGCTCTTTGAGCAAATGTCGAAGGATTTTTGAGTGGGTCTGAGTCATCGATGCGCCCAGACCCCACCTATGCACTCCACATATCCCATGTAGTAACAGGAATCACGCAATTCAAAGCCCTTTACTTTCCTCTCATGGTGATCGGAGTGCATCAAGACATCGAAACGGAAGCTCTCATCGACAGCGGTGCAATGGCCACGTACATCCACCCTCGTCTTGTCATCAAACTACGCCTACCCTCGGTACCCCTTGTCCGACCCATCCCGGTCTTCAACGTAGACGATACTCCCAACAAGAAGGGAACCATATCGCACGCCGTCGCCCTTCGCTACCGATGGAAGGGAACAACCAAGCTTGTTAAGGCGTACATTGCCGAGATCGGAAGACAGGATCTCATTCTAGGCCATGAATGGCTCCAGAAGGAGAACCCCATCATCGACTGGAAGACAGGCGAGCTCGAGTTTGAAGACCAGACGTACTGGGCCAAACGCGAGCAGAACGAACAGCTTAGCAAGGCGGAAATCCTACGAACTGTCAAAGTGGAGCTACCCCCCGCTCCCGTCTATCGGATCCGCCGACAAGTTGAGGAACCACCCGATCGGGCCTGCAGCCCCGAAGAACCCCGCGAACCAACCCCACCTCGACGAGTGACCGTCGAGGATGTTCCCGAAGAAGAACACGAGCGAGCTGTAGATGCTCCTCAGAAGGAAGTTGTAGCGGAGACCTCTCTCTTGGACGAGCCAATTGAGGAACTCCCCAACTTCCCCCCTATGAACCCACACCCTGAACCGCTCGAGAGCGAGGAAGATTATGAAGCACGACTCCGGTCCATGACCGAAGATCTGGACCCTGACGAATTCCTGGCATCGTATGCCCCTGGTGCAAACTACTTGGCAACACTCGCTTTCGTTGAAACACCACTGACGCAGGAACACGAAGACACCCCAGAGCCCCTGCCGTCCAGGCATGCTATCAATCGGATGATACGAACCGGCACCGGCGCACTAATCCCCACGGCATTTTCGATCGGACGAACCACCACAGCCACTGAGCTAGCGCTCTCTGAGTGGGTCGGAAAGAAGCAGAAGACGGTTGAGGAAATTGTCCCTCCCTATCTGCATGACTTCCTCCCGGTATTCGATAAAGTAACGGCATCTCGACTCCCAGAGCACACCGAGTACGACCACGAGATCAACCTGAAACCGGGGTTTTCGGAGATGAAGACCCAGGTCTACCCTCTCAGTCATGCTCAACGCGAGGAACTTGACAAGTTCTTGAAAGAGAACGAGTCGAAAGGTTACATACGACCCTCCAACTCTCCGATCGCCAGTCCTTTCTTCTTCGTTGGAAAGAAAGATGGAACATGGAGACCCTGTCAGGACTACCGAAAGCTTAACGAGAATACGGTCAAAGACCGCTACCCCCTCCCCCTGATCTCAGACCTCATGGACAAGTTTAAAGGTGCAAAGATCTTCACCAAGATGGATCTGCGCGCCGGCTATAACAATGTCCGAATCAAGGAGGGCGATGAGTGGAAGGCAGCTTTCGCGGTTCCCGGATCCAACCAGGGTCCGCCACGACTATACGAACCCACGGTCATGTTTTTCGGTCTATGCAACTCGCCCTCGACGTTCCAACGGATGATGAACTCCATCTTCGAAGATATGCTAGCTGAAGGCTGGCTAGTCATCTACATGGACGACATCCTGATCTACTCCGCGGACACTACGACACACCACGAACGGACTCGACGAGTCCTCCAGCGCCTCAAGGACCACGACCTCTATCTCAAACCCGAGAAATGCCACTTCGACGTCACTGAAGTGGAATTCCTGGGAATGATAATCCGACCGGACACCATTGCCATGGACCCCGTGAAAGTGAGCGGAATCGCTGACTGGCCCGTACCCGAATCAGTCAAGCAAGTCCGCTCCTTTGTCGGATTTGCGAATTTCTACCGACGGTTCATCCTCCACTTTTCTGAGCGTGCACGACCCCTAGTGGACCTCACAAAGAAGGACGTACGATGGCATTGGGACGAGGAGCAACAACTCGCCTTTGAGGATCTGAAGCACGAGTTTACGCGTGCTCCCACCTTGGTCATGCCAGATGAAACCAGGCCATTTGCTCTCGAATGCGACGCCTCGAAGTTTGCTACCGGCGGTGTCCTGCTACAGAGTGATGCAAACGGGGACTTGCACCCCTGTGGCTTCATCTCCCAGTCCTTGAACCCCGCCGAGCGGAACTACGAGATCTACGACCGCGAACTCCTCAGCATCATACGCGGTCTGGAGACCTGGAAACACTATTTCCTAGGTAGCCCGCACAAGCTCCAAATCCGCTCGGACCACCGTAACTTGACCTACTGGCGCACCGCGCAGAAGCTCAATCGACGACAAGCACGATGGTCGCTGTTCCTCAGCGAATTCGACTATGAACTGGCACACGTCCCTGGAACGCAAATGACCATCGCCGACCTTCTATCCCGACGCAGTGACCATGATACCGGGGCTGATGACAACGACGACATCGTAATGTTAGCCCCCCAGCTCTTCGTGCGAGCCATCAACGCGGACCTCCTCGATCGCCTACGAGACTGCCATGAAAAGGAACCCATGGTAAAGGAGGCCTTCGATGCTCTCCTTGGCAAAGGACCTGCACCTGCGAAGACCTCGCTTACGGATTGGCAGACGGACGGAGACCTGGTATGGTATCAATCACGAGTGTATGTTCCTCCGGATGCGGG